ATTTGATCATAATTAATTTTATTAGAGCAATAATATTTATTTTTATCATTATTTATATATAATATTAAAAACATAGTACCTATAACTACTATGAAAAATTGTATAACTTTGCTAGGACGAAAACCAAAATATAACATTTTTCATAAGTATTGTGGACACTTAGCGTTTTGCCCATTCTGAGGTTTGCACAATTTCAAATTTTACTCATAACATGGGTATATATACCAATAGATTACTAGTAATGGCTTATAAATAAAGATAATAAACTTAAGCAAAGCAAAATTTACACATAACATGTTCATAATTTTCAAGAAGATAAAAATTAAAAAAAAATGTAAAAAGTTTACTTTTTTTATTTCAGGTACCGACCTAGTTATTTTATTAATAAAAAAAAAATCAATTGCTGTTTTTAATACATCCATATGATATATATATATTTATATATTATTTATGTTTATCAATTCAAATAGTAGGTATTCTATTTAGCTTAATAATTAATTAAAATTAAAAATAATACAAAATAATGTTCTTTGCCAACAATCAGGATGCATATTTTATGGGTAATTGTCAATATTGAGGTGGATATGTATTTTGTTAAGTAATACCACGAGGATTTGGAGTTTAATCGCTATCTATTTGATATAATAATTATCCACTTACCTTAACTGTGACAGTAGTTTGGACTAATTACTGGCCATGCCAAATCTGAAACGGAATAATAAAAATGAAAAAATGAATGTTTAAGTAACAGTTTTATACTAACCAATAAATATATAGATGGGACGACAGATTTAAAAATATGAAATACAAGATTTCCCACCTGGAGCGCAACGTTGCCCGTGCCAATTTTTTACCTCCCGCACTCCTCGCCATTTTTAAAAGAAGTAATATTTACGATTTTATCAAAATATGATATTAAATTTCTTATAAAAAAAAATACTATATTACACTAATTTTTTTTTTCTTCTACGAAATATAACTTATAAGAACTACAACTTAGATTTTCAAGCATTTCTGTTTGGTCTAACCATTTCATCCACAGGGTACCTAGGTACCGAATAAAAATTACGTAAAAAACTTGCAGAATTTAAATGTCTATAAATAGCTAATAGGTTTTGAAAACTTTACTACGTCTAAAAAAGCAAATATAAAATTCCTATCTTAAATTTTAACTGAATTATAACAAAAATTTAAATAATAAAATCATTATTTTCGTGAATTTTCCAATTTTTTCGTTTTCATTCAAAGATCAAAAACAGTAATCTCTTGTGGTTTTTTTATTGAAGTAATATTTCTGATAAAAATCATAATCTGGAATAATTTAAAATACCTAGGTAATAAAATATTAACGCCACGCCGTAAATATGTCAGTTTTCAATAAATTTACATCTTTTTTCGGTTTTTTGCAATTTATTAAAAAAATCCTAAAAAATTTAAAAAATCAGTTACCTACTCACTAATAAAATCTAGAATGTAAAAAAAGATCCCTTGGCATTTTCCGATTAAGGCAAGGTAGAAAACAAAATGCGTAAAAATTGAAAACTATTAAACCGACAACGTCGCTACATGCCGTAAATATTTGTCCACTTTTCTAGTAGGTAATTTTTTTTCCAGTAGTTTAAAATTATTATAAACACCCATTAGAAAATACAAAAATTATCTCTTCAATGTAACAACTAGATCCAAAATGCAACATTAAAGTTTTCTCATCATTTTTCGAAAAGTGGCTCACAAACACAAAACACACACACACACACACAAACACCATACATAATATAAAGTAAGTAATTTATTAAATATCCGAACCTAAGACGAGAATGAACGCGGACTGTTAAATTCGAATTCAAAAGCCAAACACACGTTAGGGATTCTTCATAATAATTTGAATAGGTACTAGAGCAGCGTTTCTCAACCTGGGGTTCGCGAATCTCAGACCCCAAAGGGTCGTAACTCCTAGATGAGGGGTCGCATCGGTCAGAAATGATTAAACATTTGATTTACATTAAAAACTAAAAATTAATAAAAGACCATAATTAAAAAAAATGAAGAAGTTAATTTAAACTATAATTAAAATATTATTATATTATGTATAATATAATAGGTAATGCATTTAATATAATTATACTATATTCGTTTTTATTATAAAGGGGGGGAGGTGTCGTAAAGTAACTGACTTTATTTTTTACCAATTTTGGAGATAGTGACATTAAAAAGTTTGAGAAACACTATACTGGAAAAACACTATACTAGAACTACCACTATACACTCAATGTATATGTTTAAATATAAACATCGCACGTACTGACGTACCTACTAAGTCACCAGCCACCGACATTTTGTATATTTTGACAACGAAAATACACCGCGAATTTTCAGTTTCGAGTCTTCACGAACAAGATCATATTATATTATTCGCGACACTTTTTAAATTTAATGAAGGTAATATCGACCGGTGAGAAAAACAAAATTACAAACTCCGCGACACCGCACGAAAAAAAAAAAAATTGTATTACTTGAGAACGCAATTAATATTCGCAACTGAAGCCGGACGGTAACTGAAAAGTGAACCCAAGGTCCCGGACGGTCGGACTCCAGTAGTCTTGGTTCTTCATCGGCATCTCGGCGATCTAAAAAGTTAACAATGTCTGCAACGAACCAATCAACGCGTGTCAGGTGACACCGTAGAGTCGAGCCGCAGAGCCGGATTGGCTACCCGGAAAATGATTGTGTCGTTCGAAATTTGGCCCGCCGACCGGTCGTATGAGTGTATGTGAAAATAAAGTTGGCAGCAATGGGAAAGTATTGTGAAAACAGATCCTTCACTGCTGTCGGTTCAAACCGTAGACCTAATAGCTTATTAGGTACCTAATAAGTTATGGGATGCTAAAACTGAATTGACAGTAAAATTGCACGATTAACAATAACTTTGAATATTTTGGATCAGTTATTTATTGTCTGGATCATATACTGTTGAACTACAAAAATTATTAACAAAGAGTAATTCTTTTTTAAAATACGTGCGTATTTAAAAGAAGTTATTTTGTATAAATCAATTTTGCAATGTTAGGATATTTAATATAAGTTAGAGTCAATAATGGGGTAGGGGAACTTGTATTTTTGCTTTTTAAATGTTTGTAAATGCTTTTTCCAGAGATTTTTTAATATTTTAAAGCGCCTTTTTGTGAATTATAAGAGAATATAAATTCGGTCTCTAATTATAATACCTATACATTATAGCCTTTGGGTAATAATTTAAATTACAAATTAATGATTGTAGGAAAACTATAGAATAAATTTAAAAACCATTTAGGTGTTTATATTAATTTGTTTAAAGAATTTAAACTATTTAAATAGTCTTAAAAAAAACTATTCAAAATGTCAAAAATTGTACAGATCGTTCAACTTTTCAAGACCAAGTATACAAGTTTCTATAACTATTAAAGATATTATCAATATTATATTATGCCTTTTTTTAATTAGTTACGGTAATCATGAAATGATTCAAGACTACACAGAATATTAAATCCTGTTTTAAAGAAGTCCCTTAGGTAAGAACATTATAACTAAGTAAATTTTTATTTTATTATTTTTTTTTTTAATTATTAATTAAACGTTGCTTAATTTTTTTTTAGAAAATATGTACATGAAGAATGCAACCAGATTTAAAACTAGATGCAGTCACACAGCTTCACAGTATATCTAGAAACAAACATTCAGTATATTGTAAATAATAGTATTATAATTAGGACCATCAGTTTAATATAACTCACTGAATCACATACAAGTATAAGATTAGTATAGTACATACTGTAGTTTTTTTTTTAGAATAATTTTAAATTAATTTAAAACTTTTACATTTGTGAACAATAACACCAAAGTAGTTTAAAAATTATATTACTCAATTCATAGTACCAATTTTTTAGTTAAATTTTCTACAAACTTACTACTCTTTATACAATGTATATTTCTCACTATTGAAAAAATAAAATTTATTTTTCATCAATCGAGACAATAATAAGCTAATATCCAGGTTGTCTTTCTAATGAAAAAAATGATTTATTAAATGAAAACCTTAATGATACTTTTGATGAATTTATGAACTATAACCGATATTGTTGCTCAAAATATTGATGGAGAGTTAAAAGTTACTTTTGATCAAGATTGTAAATATTACATATTTCACTGGAAACATTCAAAATTTGATTTTAAATTATGGTTTATTAAGTCTTCTTCTCCTTCGCCTTCATCTTTTCACATGAGTCAACTATTCTCGTTCTAAACTTCCACTTGATCCAATCACCCACGTGTTTACATACACCTGACATCCTCATAATTTTCTGATATGTCAGTTAATTTTAAAAGTACTCGACTAGTATTACTCAATTTAACAATTTTATATAACATTATACCTATCGGAAAAAGAAATTTCTTGTCCATTATATTAAAAATTAATTTTTCAAAACATTCTTTCTACAATTTTTGAAATTATAATAAATCAAAAATGAAAAAGTTTTAACTTTAATTTCATTGGATGGTTTTTCTTCATAACAATCTAAGTGGTTTTGAGCTGAATAGTTATTAGAATCTTAATTACAAACAAGTGCCACAGTATTAAAACCTAGCACAATACACACCATTTTTAATATGTAATACAACTTTTTCTTATCATGTAAAAAGGACAGTTACCAACTGTTCAAATTTGTAAAAGTTTGAGATAAGGACTATAGGTCAAAAAAATTTTCAGACATACAAATATGTCTTTGCAAGGTAATCATTGATGGACTAACAAAAAAAAAAAAAACAAATATACTTATAAGATGTCCTTGTTAAATATATTTATAATATTATATTTTGTTGTAACAATAAAATAAAGTTTAAGATATAATAAGTACAGAAATACAAAACTAGCATATTAATATTATGAATATAAATGGTAATACATATTTGTATTGTAAAATATTAACAAAATAACAATTAACATAAATTATTATTTAGTAATTATAATGAGTTTAATATGAATTGGTTGTGTTCTTTGGATATAGATTAAATACATATTGAGCAATACTTCTTGTTTTATATGTTATGAAATACAGATCATCTGGGGTCCACCAAGAATTCTAAAAAAAATAATACAAAAATGTATGAAATAAAACATGTAAAAGAGCTGCAGATACTATGGTATGCCACTATTGTAAGTGAGAAATTGGGAAAATAGGATACATAATGTTATTTCAATTCATATCAGTAAGCAGCGAACAATAAATTATTGCTAACAAAAACAATTCTAAGCTAAGTTATAAATGTTTTGAAAAATCATAATTTTAATGGTTTTTTGTCAAAATTTAATAATAAAACTCACAAAAAAACCATTACAATTACGCTTAAAACACTACTTACAACTTATAATAACATTGTGTTAAATTAAAACATATTTGGATAATAATTTTACCCATAATGTAATACCATATAATACCTGGATACCAAATAAAAACTAAAAAGAAACTCAAAAATATCAAATGCTTACAACAAATAACTCAAAAATTGCCTGAATGTTTTAAGTATTTCACCACATCTATAAAAGTACAATATGAATAATAGTAAAAATTGTAGGTCTCTTTGAATATGTTCAACCAAATTAAAACAAAATAATATGATAAAATTGTTTTTTCAAATTTTTGTTCAATTATTAAGAAAACTCATGGGAAATCAAATAACGACCTTCATATGCACCAGTTAAACTAAATTTCTATTCAGAAAACTTGATACACTTAAATTTGGTGCAAGATTTCTCATAGAAAAACCAAATAAACAAAAAATTGAATATAATAAAATTAATAACACCAAAGTGAATCATAATCATATTTGTCAAGTTTTCCTATAGATTATTATTTTTAAATTTTCTTAAATATTATGAAAATCGCTTGAAAAGATTTATTTTTGTACAGACGTTCCTATCACCCATACCAACCAGTTTACTGATGCAGCGACTAAGCCTAACTGTTAAAAAAAAAAACAAACAAATAAGTTAATTTTTTTCTTGTTTGTAAGAATAATGAGAACATTTTATCATTTTTTGTTACATAAAAAAACATCAAATTTCAAATATTTAAACCAAATATTAATCCAGACTCTAGACATAAATAATAAATTATTTAACTAATAATTGGTCATCAATAAAATAATTTAAAAATTAGAAAATCTTAAGTACTATTACAGAATTTATTCCCAATTTTGTTAAATAAAAAAAAAGTATATATTACTAAATACAATTTAATTTACATATTAGGTAAGTATTAATTTTTTTGTTATTTTTCTTTTTATTTATATTAAAATCAGATCAAACATATCAACAATTTATAAGAAAGAAAAACAAAAATTACACTAATATCAGAGATAAAATGGACAGTTATTATTTAATGAAGAGAACATAATAAATACATGAAAAGAGTATCTTTTTCAAGAACTTTAAGATGGAAAATAGCAGAAAAATTTACAATACATTAAGATAAAACAAAGCTACCTATTTTAACAACAGAATTTAACCTAACACTCTACAATTTAAAAGAAAATTAAGCGATTGGAAGGCTGGAAGATAATATCACAGAATTTTTGCAATACAGTAGCATTGAGATTAATATCTACAATAATAGATAAATATCACTCTATAGTTGATACTCGAGATAGATATGATAAAGAAGAGGTACTAGATGATTACTGTAAAAGCATAGACGTAATTATACCAAAGAGGAGCACAATTTTCTATGAACAATTTAGAACATTGAATCTACATTGACATACACTTCAAAAGTCTGAACAAAAATAATAAATCAGAGAATAGAATAATAAATGGAAGATTAGTTAAAAATTATCCATATGGATTTAGAAGACAAAAAGATACACAGGAAGCAATTCTAAGGACTGTGCGCATGTTTATAAAAAAGTAGATTGATAGAAATAAAGTTATGTACTTAATGAAAAATAGATGTTGAATAACATGGCGTGACCTAAAAATCATCTAGTCTTTATAAAAATCAAATAGTTTGTTTAAAAAAAGGAAAAAATACTGCTAACACTCAAATAAAAAAAAAATCCAGCAAATGTACATGTTATTACCACCACTTTATAATTGTGACATCAAAATAATTATTATGTTGAAAGCCTAATTTAGGATTAAATTAAGTATGACTAATAAAAACTAAATATTAAAGTTGAAATTGGCTAAGAAATTGTGTATATAACTTATTAAAATGTCCAGATAATATAATAGTGGTAGCAGATAATGAAGGTAACAAATAATGTGAATTTGATGAAATTAACAAATATTCAAAAGATACTAAATTAAAATAAATAATACAAAAACAAATATTTTAACCTGTACCCTTGACCAACAAATAATAGCTGATGTATATATCAATTAAAAACTAGATCAATTAAAGAGCTAGGATTTAGGAAGCAAAATCATATCTCACAGTCATAGCATCCAAGATATAAAACAATGCACAGCATTGGCAGAAATAGCTTTTAGTAAAAAAAAAACCCCGTTCACTTCAAAAAAACTCATTAAACATAATATGTAGTGTCACAACATATAGATGTGAATTATGGATCATAAATGATGCCATAAAAAATCTAGAAGACTTTAATATGTGGTGTTTGAGATATATGGAAAGAATAAGTTTGATAGAGAGGAAAACAAATAAACAGGTATTTTGAACTGCAAAAGGAAAACATACATTTATGAAAGTGCTTAGGGCAAGGTGTTATAAAATTGTTGGACATGTGACTCCCAGAAGAGTTGTATAATATAATAAATTATAGAAGATATGATTGAAGAAAAGAAATGTTATTATAATATAAAACAATTTAAAAATGACACAAGAGTCAAAACCTTTAAGGAACTTAAAAAAAGGCAATCGACTAAAATTATAATTTTAAACTAACTTGAAAAAAAATATTATCCTGTGGATGTATTACTTACCACTAATGGGCCATGAATGCTCAAAATATTTTCAATGTTTTCTCTTGTTGCAGTATTCACCAATTTTCTTGATGAAAATTTAAGAGTACATCCAACCAGGGTTTCAGGAGATAAATACTAAAATTTAATAGATTAACAAATAAATTATTAATGCAAATACAGTTGTATTATGTATTATTAAAATGATTTGCATACACATTATTATTAAAACCAAACAAAAATGTGTATTAATACAATTAGATCAGCTGTATGATATAATGTATATGTATATAACAGTGTGATATAATTGTATTTAATCAAATCCATTTAAACAAATTCGAATTAATTTAATCAATAATTACATCTTTTATAATATTATATTTATCATGGGATATTTCTTTTGAAGAAGAATCATCAGCATTAACACACATTGCCTTTTGATCAATTTCTTGCGGTGCCATTACTTCTTTTGTTTTTTGGGGAAGTTTCTACAAAAATTTAAAATCCATTATTATTGAGGATAAACAAAAAACATTTAAATGCATATGCTTTTGTTTTATTTTAATGCATATCTACAAATATTTAATTAATGTTTTTCAAAAGAAATATTACATTTTTATTTATTAGTGATTGTCATAAATAAATAAAATATATCAACTATAATGGTAAACATATTAAAAAATATAGTTTCATTTTGTTTAAAGTATGTAGAAATAAGTTTACTTATTATACATGTAAAAGATAATATAAGTATTCAGAAAAGATTGCAGTGCTGCTTTGTGATTATTTGTTTTTTTTTCTTACAAAAATAGAACAAAAGAACACTAAAATTTAAAAAACACAAATGAAATTAATAAACAATAATTTTAATGATTTATGTGTTGAAACATAAATGGATTTACAAGTATGTGTGTTTTTTTTTTTTTTTTGTATTATATAAGATGCATTAAAAGCATATGATAAACTTACAATTTAGTTTTGTGATTGAGATAATCAAAATTTAAAATCGTAGAAAACAACTTTTAGATTTTTTGGAGTTTGGTTATTTAAAACGTCAAAAAATGTCAGGAACATATTTATAAATTATTGTCAACCACAAATATAAATTTGACTCACTAAATGCCTGTGTTATTAGAATAAAAGTGTTTCAACATTGCACAATTGGATACACTTCATGTCAGAAAAAAAAAACTATACTCAGCTAATTATTTATACAAATTATAAAAGTGTAAGTATCAAATTATTAGTACTAACAGGATTATATTTAAAAGTACTTTATTAAAGTTAATTAAGTTGTGGATAAAATAAAATCAATTATCATTTTGCGTCAAATTATATTCACCAAACTGGAGGTAAATTTTAAAATTCCCAATTAAAAGAGACAGAATCATTTATAAATAAGGTCTGTAAAACATACATTTGATTATGGATTTGTTCTGTAAAACAGTGTATGTATCGAATCTCAACAATTTTAATTTTTTTCTTGAATAATCTTTAAATATTGTCAATGTAATTGTTAAATGCGTGATTTTAAAGTGTAAAAAAAATTAAACAGATATTTCTGTATTTCAAAACTAGACAAATATAAGTCACATTACATTTTAGCAAAAGAACTAAAAAAAGGAGTACGATTCCTGCCATACATCAGAACTCACGCTAATATAACCCTGGTAAAATTATGTTAGTAGTATTGTTAACAGACTTCCATTATTATGGCTCGATGAAAAACGTATATTATATGCAAATAATGTAACAATCTAAATAATTTTTGGACTTACAGTTGTCTGGTTCTGAGGTACAGATTTAAGCATATTATATTTAAATTACTTGTGTTTGTATTGTATTTAATTTTTTATATTTACAAGTTTGACAAGTAACAGATAGACAAATAATTGATATAAATGTTAGCAACATATTAAAACGAGACAGAAATAGTATTGAAGGTCAGGTATCAGGGTAGGTAGATCAATGTTGAGAAATCAAGCGGCAAGTAAAAAAATTGGATTGGATTCCCAGTTAAGCCTCCTGATTTTTATAGGCATTTCTGGTTTCTAACAGTAGTTACATGTTTAGTTTCGTATTTTAATATGGGTTGACTTGAAGATACAGCAAAATCAACTACCGAAATTTTGATAAAACCAGAATTCGACAATCAGATTAAACCAGATAAATATGGTAAGAGGAATGAAATGAGCGAGTATGGTATCAAAATTATGAATTTATTGGTCTAGTAAAAATAACAAACAGTGCCTACATTCCTGCACCTGTAGATGAATTCTACAATCTAAATATAAATATTACCTTCTAGTGCACCAATAGAGATGTTGTTTTGAGATACTGGTAACGTTATAACAAATATAACAAATAAAGAATAAACGGAAATTAACCAACTACAGACCGTTCCACGAGACTCTCGTCGACCAAAACCGGTTGGTCTCGCGCATCACCACGCCATAACCTCACACATCGATTGACAGCGCCGCGTTTATTGTGCAGGCGTTATACAGAGCGTGTGAAACAATTCATAGTTGACTGTGACATTCCACCGTTAATCACCGTACGCTGCGAACGTATTCATACTAATATACGATCGGTTTCGATTTTAAAAATCAAACTAAAAAGGCAACGGAATGACGCGTGACGCTTGATAATGAACACAAATTGAGTATCTATATAAAATATCCTCACGGTGTATAGTCGGCAACCGACGGGCGCCGTCGTTGGAATGGAAGGAGAAACGACCGCCCAGAGTAAGTTTTATTTTTATATACATGCGCAATAGCGGCCCGGTCTCTCGCGGTCTATACATAAAATGTTTGAAACTATGGTCCTATTAAAACAAAAATAAGAAACTAAATGTAGTGATGCAGTGGTCAAACTGTTCCAATCTCGAACCGAACCGTTGATTTCAGTTCAGTTCGATAATCGAACTTGAAATATTTGTCGAACCGATTACGACAGTTCGAAGTTCAAATTCAACAATTTAAAATTTTTTTATTTTTATAACTCTTCCGAAATTAATTTTAAATGTTTTATCATGAAGTTAATATAGTAATAATATTGAGATATAATTAATAATTATTAGGTCAGGACTATAGGCGGAGTTTTACGTCGCGTTTTTTTTTTTTTTTTACAATATTTCAAGTATATTGTACGTTCTATAATTATTACCGTATGTACTATCAATAAACCTCATATTTTCATGCTTATTATTATTTTATATTTAACAAATTCTTCGGCGTACGTTGTCGCAGTTGACACAACTTACGGTTGTACATTATTGGCGTCACGTATTAGATATTAATATATTATTATCTACGCGTTTTAAATACCATTATTTCATTACAATAATTGTTTGTATTGTTTTTTATTTTTGTTATCTAACAGAGTTCGGAGTTGGTCTTTTGTATAACTTGTATATATCAAATCCTTCATTAGCAATTATTAAATATTTAAAAGACATGATATAATACGAACCCTAAGTGAAATGCCATTTTATAATATTACAAATACCTATTATGACAGATGAGCTCAATTGTAAAGTTAAATTCCAAGTCAACATATTGTTTATAAATTATTAATTTATTTACGAAACTTTCTATAGTGGTTACTTATTTGTATTTATCTAAGTATAGTTACACGTCCTGTCAAGTAGTTAAACATTATGTTGACTAAGTATTTAACTTTACAATTGATCTCATTTGTAATATTAAAACAAATACATACAATCAATTTGTCGATAACCATACGATTTGGCGGACAAGTAGAGAGCAAATGGACTCTTAATAGGGGTCAACGACCGAACATACTACTAAGACTTGACTACTACAATACGGGAGGTATACGGAATGGCTTCTCTATATTACACTACGAATGGCGGGCCATCTTACAAAAATACAATGATATAGTTTTATAAATAAGTTGAACGAAATAATATTTTATATTTAATATTTAATACAATTTAAATATATTAATAAAAATTGTATAATTATTTTTATAAATTCCCGTTATTTGTAACTAGTTAGTAATTCATATTTTCTACTCAATCGCTACACAACTCGAAAATTGTAACAGTTAAAGGACGACAGTGTATACTAATACTTGTCTATGGTGGGAACCATGGTCAATAATTCGAAGTCATTTGTGTAGTACTCGATTAGACTGATAAGAGTAAAGCTAAATGCACACTGAGCGATTCGAACGCACGTTTCTCAAAGATAAAAAGCGCGTCAATACTTTGTACTTTGTGACATACTAGTCTTGACGCATTGCTGTTGCTGTACATCGTACATGACTACGTGTGCAGTAGTACTTCGCGTCGCGATCCACTGTTATTTCGTTTAATATTTTCGAATTCGGAAAGCTCAAACGATACAGAAGCCGCACGTGTGATGTTCGCACAATACGAGGAACATGAACAAAAACGAAAAAAAGTGAAATGGCGACGTTGCGTCCATCCGTTTAATCTAAATACACCAGAAAATGGTTCTTAATTCGACACCTCAAGAATAAACGCTTCAGTGCCGAACGTCTATAATATAAATGGATACAATTTGTATCCAAAAGGTTGTACAAGGCTGATGACACAATATTATGAACGAACGAAAATAAAACGCGGCGTCCGAATCGCCCGTGCGTTATCAAAAACGGAAATGCGTTGAAAATAAATTGGGAAATTATTGTTTAATTATAGTGAAGAAACGTTCAAAATTGAGCATGCGCGACCGAACGCGTATGCTCATTTTCGTGTGTGGACGAACCCATACAAAAGAACATGTTAAATTTCCAACGATTAATCGCGACGTTCGGAACGCGTAGACGCGCGTTCGAATCGCCCAGTGTGCAATGCACTTAAAATCCACTCGAGTAGTAAACTCTTGTGGAACTACGAGTTTTCGAACGCAATATATTTTGTGCGCAACAAATGATAATGTAATAGGAATTCCCAACAAAAATAAAAGTCATTATAAAACTGCATATTGCGTAGATACCTATAAGTCTTCTATGATTACGATAATACCGAGCAATTATTTTGAAAATATGGTTAGTGTTTATAAATAACTGGGCATGTTACGATTGCGTGTATAATATTGACGTTATCTAACAATGGTATTGACATAATTGAGGCCAGCGAAAGGTAACCAAAATTTCGTACATTAAGTATAAAACCAAAACAGGAAACCAAGTCACCATTTTTTTAAATACCGAAAAGAAACGGAGACTTACATTTATGTTATTTTAAAATCCGAAACCGAAATTTTGGTTTTTTTAAAAAACCCAATAGAAACAGAGACCGAAATTCAAATTTTTTTTAAAAACCAAACCGAAATTTTAGTTTCGTCAGAACCGGAACAGCTTTGTTTTTTTACTAGGAACCGAACCGGAACCAAAATCGCAATATTCATCAAGGTTCTAGTCCCTGATCTGTACACGATGAATAACCATTACTAACGAAAAACAAATCTGAGTGGAGTTCGGTTACATATGTTTTGAAAGACCGTAATATTTACAATTTGAAAATAATACATTTCGTATATTTTCCTATTTTCCGAAGTTTTTTCCCATTTATTATGAAAACCAAATCGAAAAATTACCTCCTTAAATTACTATCCGAGTACAATTTCCTTTCAGAAAAAGTACTACACTTGAAAATCGGATTAAGATATCTGGTAGAAAAATTGTTCAGAAATAAAAATAATAATAATAATAATAAACATTGTTGTAAAGCAATACATTCCTTGCTTCACTCAAAAACTAAAATTCAAGTTCGATAGAAAATTTTCCTAGGTTCGGAATGTTAAAAAAACTGAAAAAATATCAAAGTTTGATTCAGTTCAGGTTTTAAGTCAAAAACCAGGGTCTGACCCATCACTGGAGACTATAGAATATTTATTATTTAACTAGGTATAAAAATGTTAAATTTGTTATTGTGTATGTATTTTTTTTTTCTAAAGCAACAATAATTTACATTTTAATATTTAAATGAATCTAAATAGTACATAGGCACCTAAAATTATAAAATAATTTAAAACATACTACTGAGATTAGGTAAAATTAGTAAAAATCAATATTAAAATGAACTTGGAGCAATTTCATCAAACAAATTGTACAACTTCAACAAGTATCTATAGGTAATACAAATATATTACGATATAATTTGTATACAATAAAATTTAAAATAAATATTATTTGTACTTACAAACGTAAATGACTCCATATATGATTGATCTTGACAATTATTTTGTGGCTGAAAAAAAAATTATTTATTTGTGTACAAACAATTAAATTGTAATGTAAGTTTTATATTACCCCTGTAATATAGTTTTTTGAAGCATCGCCTTGAAAAAGTTGTTTAGATAAATCAATTTGTTTCTGAGAATTATTTGCATTTTTATGCGCATTCCATAATGTATTAACACCTTCATTATGTTGTTTTTGTTTTGTAAAGTCAATTGGATCAAAAACTTGCATAGGTTTATACATATCACTCATTGATGTAAATAGCAAATTTGGTTGTTGAAAATTACTAAAAGCACAATCTAGAATACTTGCTGGTATAAACTGAGAGCTGTTTGAACTATTTGTTCCCCTATACAAATTCTGTGTATTCTTATGTTCATGCCATAATGACGAATTACTAGTAACTTGTTTGTTGGTGTTAATTGAATTAAAAACAGGGCTAGGTCTAAGTATATTTCCAGTTAAAGTATGAGATGGTTTATTATTTGTGGTTGCAAAAGGCAAATGTTGTGGTTGAAAATTATTAAAAGCACGATCTGGAATACTTTCTGGTATAAATTGAGAATTTGTGGGATTATTTTTTCCAGTATTCAAATTTTGCATTTCATTTTTTTTTGTGTATTCATGCCATAATGACAAATTATTAATAACTTGTTTATTTTGTACTTGTATGTTGATGTCAGTTGGATTAAAAACATGTCCAAGTCTATGCATATGTTCAGTTGAAGTATAAGATGGTTTATTATTTGTTGTTGCAAAAGACAAATGTTGTGGTTGAAAATTATTAAAAGCACGATCTGGAATACTTTCTGGTATAAATAGAGAATCCTTTGAAATATTTGTTCTAGTATTTAAATTCTTTTTGTCCTTTTCAATCTTTTTAAAAGTTATATGATTTTCAAATGGATTGTTTCCTAAACATGGTTTATACAACCAGTTATTATTTTAAATTAAAAATTAAAAATCAAGTAATAATTATATGAACTATCAATAAAATAAAAAAATTAATATTCAATATATAGTTGATGATCAAAGTAATTAATTGAATGATAATAATTTATTGCTAATGTAATCAATAACTATTTTTCTACGATTGACACAAATATTGCAAGTAAATTGAAAAAAACCTACTGGCACTTTTTTTTCTAAAATTATCATAAACTCTCACTTTATTTTTCTAAAACCTATGACTAAGAAGAAATAAATACATTCAAATTGGAAACAAGTCACTTCTTTTGATACTTGTAGTATGAATAATTATCTTCTTTATAGACTTATAGCGGTCTATTTAGGATTATTGTTGCTTCTACCACATAGATTTATTTAAATTAGTACTCTTGTCTATTACTCAAGCTTACTTTTGGAGAAAAATTATTTTATATTTTGGCTGGCATGTATTTGTATAACTTGAGAAATAAATACTTCTATACTATACTATACAAATATTATATAGGTTGTATGTATTTACGACTGTTCATTTTAAAAAATCCTTATCAGGTAATAGTACAAGGTATTCCATACAGATTTGACAAATATAACACAGGGTTCTAGTAATTACTACCAAAATAAAAAATTATAACTTTAAAATATTGAATAAAACAAATTATTCCGTTTGTCAAATATTCATGGGATACCCGATTCATTGATTAAATATACATTGTGTATTTACTCAATGCCCGATTTATATATTATAATATATATGCATGTTAAACATTTATTTTGTTACAACTATTATAACTTTATAAGCAATAATTACTTTTAAAACCACAATGAATCATTCATTTTTTTAATTAAATAATATTTTACTTATTGGTTACCATGGGGAGTACAACGATGGATCCAAGTCCATATATTATTTACTGTTCTCCAGCGCTTTCTTGCATTTATTTCTAAGACACGGGAGGTACTTTAAAACAAGTTATTTATGTACTCTTGAACATACCTGGTATTTTATTGAAGTCAATGATATTTGTTTCATTGGATTTTGAATTAAAACCTCTCAACTGATTTGATGGCAAACGTTGTGAATTAGTAACATTATTCTGAATTTGTTTTCTTGAGTTATTTTTCTTATTCTTATTCCCTCTTAGTGGACCTGTTTGACGCTCTTTGAATGATTTTCTATGATTGTTCTAAATATATATATGTATATGTAATTGTATTTATGTTTTGGGTATAGTAGGAAATAGGAAATTTATTATTAATATGTAGTTTAATCAGGTTATATGTACATTAACCTATGTACTATGGATAAAGTAAATCCTCTTCTGTTTCATCTCAACAATTTGTGGTTGGCTCCCACTTGACCCAATCTCTCAAATTACTTAATCCACCTATCCTCATATAATTTTCAATAATATCCAACAATCTCTTTTTGATCTTCTTCTACCTTTTTTCCTCCTAAGTTTATTTTAATTATAATTTCTACTAATTCAGATTCCTTTTTCCAGACACCTAAAACATCTGAATCTTTCCCCCATTTTGTCTACTACCAAAGCCATACCTAAGTTACCTATTGTGTACTCATTCCTTATCATATCTTCTCACAACAGCCATCACTCTACCCAAAAATACATGCAATACATATACTATATTATATACAACTAATAACAAAATATTTATTATTTTTTAAGAAAAAAAAATAGAACCTTGTAATTCTTGGATGGTCGTTGACGACTAAAACTTGAATTGTATTTTTGGTAGTATTGTTTCCAATTAATGAATTTAGAATTTGTTTTGGTGTCCTAAATTAAAAAAAACAAATAAATTTATGTACAAAATAATGTCATATTAACAAACTTATTCTAAATAAACAACAGTAAATATACATATATCCTAACCCGAACTACATAGTCATCTCTGTGATTGTAATTTCCATAATGCTCAGAATTTGGAATACTTCTGGAAGTGGATGTTTTCCATAAAATATCCTTATCTTTTTTATAATTTTCTGCTTTTGAATAATTGGTATTAAAATATACTGCGGAACTTGATGATTTGTCAGATAAAGGAGTTTGCAATACAATATTCTTATCTTTATTATAATTTTCAAAGTTAAAATTTTGTAAATATGTAGGATTCAAAGTATTGAAAGTTAATCCTTTATCAGAATATGAATGTTTCAATTTAACATTCTTATCTTCATGGTTTTCAGGTTTGCTAATTTTCAAAGATTCAGGATTTAAATTTGGTGGACAAGTTGATATCTGGTTAGAAAAAAGTGGTGTTTTCCATAAATTGAGCATTATTTCATCATTTACTACTGAATGTTCAAGATTTGGAATGTTCTCCTTTGTTACTGATAGATATTGATTTGTATTATTAAAGGTCTAACAACAGAAAAAAATATACATATTTCAAATGTATTATATTATATACTTTTTAGATGGATTCATGGCTAATTAATATATATTATATAATATAAAACCATGTGATAACCTGAAATAAATTGTCATTTCATTTGTAGAATATAATATATATATATATATTTAAATAAACATCAAAACACATTAAAATGTAAAAAATTTGGCTTTTGTAAAATATTTTAATTAATTAATCAAAATATATTGCAAAGTTTAAAAATTATATTATGAAAATTCTAATAGTAGTAATTTTAAAACTGAGAGTTGTAAGCACTCCTCCTTTCCCTATTTGTAATTATGCCACAAGTTAAACAATGTTCCTTACACGATAAAGACATTACAAATTTAGAAAATATTGCTTTTTAACACAAATAAATAATTTCATGAGAAGATTGACTATATATATAAAAAAAAAAACAATCCATAGTAGATGATTTGTGGCGTTTATACTTAGTACAAATTATGGTTTTACTAATCGTAATATTGTAACCAATAAATCACCAAAATATAATAAAATTAATATAATAATATAGAAACCATTAGTTATTTGTTAGTTATTTATACCATGGATTACCATGACTTCCCATGGATTCTACCTGGACTTTTACCTTACAACTCAAATACCAACATAGATTAGAATATGAATAGTTATTTTAAATGGTTAAAACTTAATAACTATTAATTATTTATTCACCTGACTTTGATCATTTGATTCACCAATATCAATTTCAAGCTTAACGTTTATTTGTTGATTTTCAGCGGAATAGCCTAAAAATATGTATATTTATTGTAATTAAATACAATTTTATTAGACATAAGTTACAATTAACCTAACATAGAAATGTACAAATATACAAATCAATAAGTATTGTATTTTTAGATTAATAAGTAATATAAAAGTCAACTTTTTACGGTTAGAGAAAATGTTTCCATTATTTTATTTAGTTACTTAATATACTATTGCAATATGTTGAAAATACATAAAACCCATAATATACATTTTATTTAACTCATAAGTTATAACTTACATAACTAAAGAAGTATCATTTAAAATTAAATTAAATACAATACAATACAAATTATGTAAATTAGCAAATAACAAAAATATTTATAGTCACCATTTATAGTTTCAATTCCTGATTCTTGTTTTATTTTCTGTAAATTTTCACCCTTAAAATAAACATGAGAATCATAAATTTAAAAAATAGTTTTGATTAATATTTTTTACTTTAATTAAACAAAAGATATTTGCATTGATATTTTTCTCTATTCTATATTTTTTTTTTTACATGCTAAGGAAATTTAAATATATCTTCCAAAAACTCTTTAAGTATAAGCATAATAATGAAATTTTTTTTAAATTTTGTTTTTTAAAAAATAAAATTTTGTTTAAATAAATAAAATATAATAATAGTAATTGCTTTTAAGATATAAATTGTTTTCTTACGCAAAAATTGATCCAAGAATATAAGATTAATAAAAATAGGTAATTAATTAAAATACAAGTATATTACTTACAAGAGGCAATGTTTTATAAAAAACATTCCAATTACATTCATTTGGGTTGTATTCATAAACGCCATACTTCTCATTGTCTTCTAACAGTTCAAAAACTGCTTTATTTTTACTAAAAAGTATATTGTTATAATCATATTAAATAAATCATTAAACATTATAAATCAACAATATATTACCCAACAAATTCTACTTCATTCTGTTCAGCAGGGCTATGAGTTAAAATATTGGCAGTCTAAATAATTATTTAAAAAATACACTCCATAAAAATAATTTATTTAATTATACAATATTCAATTAATTAAATATCATAAAATATTTCATATTACTACTATCAACATTAAGTAGTATAAGTTACTTTACAAATTTGTCTCTATAAGCTCTATCTCTCATAAGGCTGTGATTTTTAAATATGATTTTCACTTAATTAGTTATGCTCTAAACAAGGTTCCCGTGGATTTTCAGTCTAATTGGTGATAAAAATTTGAAATTATTCGCTACTTTAATACTCATGTTGGAATCAGTATATATGTATATTATTTTTTTTTTTTAGCTCTCAATAGTTTAAATCTCTTATTGAATATTTTAAGTATTATACAAAACAGTATAATGTATTGTTTCTTTTATGTTATAAAAGAATACATAAGGATCATATAGTTTACAGAACAAATGTAATAAATTGCTCCCAAGCAATTTTTTTTCCAAATGTGTGTTTTTGCATGGTAAATTTGATGGTACTTTTCAAAAACTCACTCAAACTTCATTGGGAAGTTATGGTCAAAAAACTTCAAAATGCTCTATAAATGCTTTATAAAAATCGTGTGGTGTTGTTTTAATTACCAAAAATTTACATTTTTGAAATTTTTTATAGAAATGGTAAATTCCTACCATATGCTTAACATTTTGGTGAAATCAGAATTCAACTATTTTACTTACTTTCTATGTTATTATTAATAAACCACGAAAAACATAATTATAATGTTATTTCAATCATTTGCATATTAAAGTAATTCAAAATTGATTTTTGAAAATTACTTTTTTTATTTTCCAGTTGTTGTGTAATCACATAAAGCAAGTTATTTTACCATAACTTCCAAATGAAGTTTGACCAACTTTTTTTGAAAGTAACATCACATTAAGCATGCAAAAACACACATTTTGTCCAATAATATTAATAATTTAGTGTTAAACTTTCAATAATAATTACAGCAGTTTAATAATGAAGAATTCTTATTTAATAATGATCCTCAGTCAACACAATGCAAATTAATATAAAAAAGAAGTCCTAGGATAATGGAGTCAAGTTTAGCCATTGTAATAATTAATATATAATGTACATCTGAAAGCAACGATAAACCAATACTAAAAAAAAAACGATTCTGAGCGGAGTTTAGTTGATAGTGCTGCTTTGTCAACAGTAAATATGTCATATTATGGTAAAATTCCAGTTATTCCAATTTCAAAATTAAAATGGATACAGTTTTTCTTCTGTTTTTCACATTTAATGGAAAACTCTTGATAAAATCAAAAAAATGACCTATCTAAACTCTAAAGTACCTCCTCAGTGAAATTTCCTTTTAGAAAAATTGCTATCATTACAAGTTGAAGCAAAATTGATAGTAAAAAAGTTGTCCACAGGAAAATAAAATAAATATCCTTGTAAAACCATGAAATTCTTCGCTCCACTCAGAATCTAAAACATTATTTCTAACAGAAGATTGTACATAGTACGCTCACTAGTATACCTGTTTACACTTACTAATGATTAATGACTAAATGACATGACACGATCTGTGATCCTAATATAATACTATAATAATTACTTACTACCATTTCTACCATTTTATCTATTAAAATATCTATATTTGTTATTATTTGTTTTATTATTAGAATATTTTCTTTTCTTTTTTGCTTAATTAAACCAAATGTCTAATTTTTGATATCTGTTATATTTTATCATGGTATAAATAAATAAACACATATAGTGTTTTTATCAGTAATTATTATCAAGTATTATTCTCATTAATAATTACTTTGGTATAAATCTAATTTATAACCCAAGCTCATTTTTCAATTTTTTTTTTTTTTTCAAAATGTGTGGTTTTTAATGCTCAATTCATTAGTATAATCAAAACTTACAAATCATACTTACTTGTATAGTTATTATACATAAACCTTGAAACATAGCATTTTTAAAATTAATCCAAAGTATGGTCGTTTTTATTATTAATATGATTTGTAGTTATTGATATTTTGTTAAAAAGTTTTTTTATTTTAGTCAGAATAAATCTATCTGGCTTAGATTTAGAGTTACAAATGTTCAAACCTTAACAACCTCACCAGGTCTCTAGGTGCATCCAAAATGCTATTTTACAAGATTTATGAACATTAACTTCAAAAGTAAAGACGGTGATAAGTTTTAATGAAACAAATGGATTAAGCATAAAAATTACAAATTTCGAAGAAAAAAAAAATTGACAACGTTATATCCTCACTATGAAATAAACAAAACGGAATATACTTCATGAAGCATTCCCCCACAACTTTCAAACAAAGTTCAACTTTTTTTATATATATATTCTTAATGTACAGTCAAAAAGTTACATTTTTTAAAAAAAAAAATTTGAAAAATAAACATATGTCGTAAACTAGATTTGTTCCATTACTTTATTAATTGTTCATATGTTTTCTTTTTTCTTTTGCATGCTATTATTCATTTCAAATTAAGGAATTACAACATATCAATTACTACACATGAAATAATCATATAAATTAAATAATTATTTTGTATACTATAGTAAATACATACAAAATCATAGGTTATACTCTGAAAATTTATTTTATTAGTATTATTAAACTTTTCATAATATATTATAAGGTCAGTTGAAGATCTCTGGGAACTGTTTTCCTAAAGATAGTATAATTTATAACTGGCTTTAAATATTTTTTGAGCTATTTTTCATTGAACTATAACTAGGTTTATAATAACTGCTTACAATTTTATTGCCTACAACCACTTTAGAAATCCCTATCCGACACCTACTCACAGCTCACAATGCTATTTTTTTTTAGCAACTGGTTTTATAAGATTTTTTTTTAAATTTATTTTTGTAAAATTAATTAATTCATTATGAAGAGTATCATATAAACATATTATTTGGGGGTGTGGTGACGATAAGGGCGATCACCCCCCCTCCTGAGACAAGTGGATTTATACCATTATTTTTGAATACCATTTGAAATAGTCATTGGTCCAGAAGTAGATATAATCAATATATTATTTGAGATAATTTTTTTTCTTATTATTAATTAATATTAAATTTAATTATTTCAACCCTTGTCATCATAACCAAGGTGTGGAGAATCCCCTAACCTATATAACATAACAATATTTAAATACTTATCTACCTATTAAACATTTTAAGAAATATTTGCTGATCTATTTAGATAGCAGATCATTTTGTATATTTTTAGATAATTTTCTTTACTTACTGAAAGAGGTACCAAATCATTAGGGTAATTAACTGCATTTGAGTCTTCTGTATCAGACTTATAATCTTCCAGCAATTTATCAATCCTAGACAATAAACAATAAAATGTATTAAAAAATATTTAAATACATAATTACTACCTATCCTCACCAATTTGATAATGAATTAATTTTATAAATTTCAATATTAAATAGGTGATTATTTTATAGTTGCATAAATAGTACATAGGTTTGTTTAGTATAATCAGTTCCAATCAGATTGAAAAATGTTAATTTTTTATCCAATTTAAAAATCTGCCTATAACCACCAATGAATATCAAAATTCACTCTACGTCTTCATTAAAAGAACATATATGACATATATGTCAAATAAACAACATCATAAAAACACAGATAGATAATTTAAGGTAAGGATTGTTTTTGTTTGTATCATTAAATAAAAATGTCATTAATTTTTTTTTTTTTTATTTTGATCCAGTTGTTATCCTTGGTATTTAAAGCAGAACACTCAAAAACTTTTCCAATCAAATTTTGATTAAAATATATGTTAACATTTTTAGAAGTTTCATCCAATTGACGATTAGCATTGAAACACGTAGGTTCTCATTTGAAAAAGCAAATTTGATATCACCATAGGTTATTCTTTAAGTATTATAAAAAAATCTATACTCAAAAATATCATTTTTTTACTATACATAAAAATTCCAAATATCAGAATTTGAATATATGCATAATAATTTAACCACACAAATGGAATTAACACTGTGAATGCTAAAAAAAACTAATCAGTACCTAAATTATTATAAATGTTTAAGTAAAATGACATAATATAGGGGAATATATCCCCCTCATTCCCCCTCGTTTCACTGCCCCTAAAACTCTGTGGTTGTTTCTACACTGTTTTCATTTAATGTATGTACAATATTTTTATTATTGAATATTAAAAAGCCTTGCGCCTTTACTAAATATTCTTCAAATGGCTTCAAACTTAGAGAATGTTTTTTTTTTTATACAGCACAAGATAGGAGGGCGTCTCAAAGTAAATTTTGAAATTGGCAAAATAAGGTCCATCAATGTAGATATACTAGAACCCTGACCAAAGTAAAAACTTTACGTTCCCTTTACAGCCCAGTCGATTAATTTAATAGTCAAACGAGGTCTGATTATAATAATTTACTAAGACATTTAATCAGGCTAAACTTTTTTATTATGTTCGATAAAAATTTTAATGTATAGCAAGTAAATAAAAATACCGGAATAATTAAGGGAAATCAATTTTAATTTTATCCAGCACGAATTATAGATTAAGTTTAAGCCACACTATGCTCTTATTTAGATTTGTTTGTTTTTCCTAAATGGTTGTTTAAATACTACGATATTACGCAAATAAGCGACACTCAATGATAAAAATAGGTCGCATAATTCATGAAGTATTAATAATCCATATGCAAAAACACCGTGGCCACGGGGTTTTTTTTTTTTTTTTTCTAATGGGACGAGGTTTATCTCACATGTTGACCGTGAATGTCGCGTGTTAATATTTATAATATTTGGTAGTACCGAGAAGGTAAGGGGATTTTAATGAAGGCATACGGTTTTCAACGTTGTGATCAACTCTTAAAAGAGGGTTTACATACGTGAGCCCGGGACACGTCCCGCTCAATAATCTGGGTCTGAACAGGCCGAATCTTAAAAATAGAAAAAATAACGCGTAATTACTCACTCGCAAATGATGTCCCAGCCATAGCTGTCGTACGATAAATCTTTGGGAAAGTCTTCCATAACGGCCATCGACCAAACAACGATTCTATAATTTAATATTATCTATGGACATGTCTTCAAAAATTAAATACTCCAAAGCAGTGTTGTCAGATATGTGGCACTGAATAAAACCAAATGTAGATAACAAAATAACTAGATAATAACCGAATTCCGGACGAAAAATCCGGGGACAAAAAGTCCGTTTTAAAAAAATTTGGATTAAAAGGCCGGGTTCAGTTTTTATTGTCGGACAAAACACCCGAGCACATTTTCAGTGTCGCACAAAAAGTCCGAAAATGCAAAATATTCTATTAAAAATCCGAGTCGTTTTTCGTGGAATAATGATTAATTGTTGCGTACAGATAGATATTAAATTCCCCTCTACATCCTACCTTCCCAACTTCTCACCTGTACCAGTAGTCTGCCCATCGTGCGAAGTATGTCTGTTTTTTTTTATTTTTACTTATCATACATTTTAGAACTTCTGTCGTTTAAATTTGTTGAATTCACCCCCCCCCCCTACCCCGAAAATAGTTTCTATATACGCGTCTAGTAGTGTCTATTGGATTCGTGTTATAAATTTGTTCATTATTTTATTTATCACACATAAGTAATAAACCCGATAATTTATTATTAATAACTATTATTAACTGTGATCAGTCACAATATCGTATTATTTTGTCCTTTTATTTTTAAATACATTCTTCGCTCGAGGTCGCCGGACAAAATATGAAAATTCGTTCGTCCATCCGGCGAACTGCGGGACTGCGCAGGCGTATCGAAACGTGTGTGGGTTCCGGCGACCGGCCGAATTGCCAAACGGTTTAATTTTATTTCAAAGTCGACGTGCTACACTGCACTGCACTGCACTACACTTTCGTGAGGTTTTGTCATTTTAAAAAAAAAAAATGTCTCGAGAGAAAGAATCTCGAGAGTTTTGAAGATTGTCAAGCGAATATTGTTTGTGGAAAATAAAATCTAAAGAATACCATGATAGTTGCAAAAAGAACGCTGCCTATAAACTTTTGGTTGAAAAGCTAAAAGAAATTGACTTCTGCGACGAAGTCAATGGTATTAAAAAAAAATAAATAACTTGAGAAGCAGCTACCGGAAAGAGTTTAAAAAAAAAAAATAAAGGAATCAACTAGGACAGGATCAGGAGCAGACGATGTCTACCAGCCAAAATTATGGTACTTTCTTGACGACCAAAACACCTCCAAAAATCTGAGCGTAGCTGTAAACCTTTCGTGGGGGGAGATTGATTTCCTCATAACTGTATCTTTTTTTTTGAATAAATGGCGTCACTAATGAAAGGTGTAGGAAGTACGTTTCTTCGTCCATTCGCAAGTAATTATGCCAGTCTTTTGGAAACAACTTGAATTCGGTCAACAGATTAATGTGAGAATTCGTTTCTTTTTTGTGACCAATTCTTACACCACAGTCGACGTTTACGTTTTTTAGTTTTATTATTTACCATGGCTATCAACAAGCCTAAAACAGTAAGCGCGTCTCCGTTGGTAGCCATGTCTATCTAATACTTGTGGCGCCCGGACAGATTCGCCGGAACGTACGGCGGGGACGCTGACGTCATTCCGGCCGGCCGGTCTCCGGCGGCCTGTGCAGGCATAACTGACTGGCCGCCCGGACCCTCTCCGTGGCCACCTTAATATAACAATTAGATTTGACGCTTTGTAAATTAAATGTTGATAATAAAACAAATAATTAAAAATAGCGCCGGACAGACGGCATACACTCCACACGCCATGTAACCATGCGACATGCAACAGGGACGGCGACGTCACTCGACTAGTCGAGTGCAAACGAATACAGCGACGTCTAGCGGCAGAACACATTTATAGTCGCTACCACTATTAACATTAGGACGGCTTATCTGTATGTTATGAAATATTAAATTCAATGGTTTTACTTAAGGTATGTTTATACTTGTGCGCTTTTTCGTGCGTTAGGTGCACGCGTCATTGCGCACCACGAGTTGAACGAAAAAGCTTGCAATTGCGCATGCCTCTTCGAGTTGAACGGCTGCATTTCCGTGACGCACGCTACAACGGAATGTCTCCCGCGCCCGGCGGGAATCCGCTCGTCACGCTGTGCCTTTTTTCATTTAAATCTTGATTTGATTTGATTTCAAAATGTATTTTATGTATTTATTTTAAAATATATATGATTGTTTGGTTATTTGTATGAAAATGGCTGAAACTGAAGACCAAAATCACACAACACGTTTCATTGAAGAATACAGGTAATGTTAACATTAAATTTTTAAGAATTAATAATTAATGATTTTTTTAAAACTTTTTACATAATAATTTAGTAATTTACTTTATTTTATATTATTTAGATCATTCCAGCTACTATGGGATACCAACCATGAAGAATACACAAATAAAATGAAAAGAAATGTTGCCATTGTCGCGATCGGCATCAAATTTAATATGGACCCGACGGCAGTAAAATCTAAAATATAGAGTTTGAGATCTTACTTTTCGAAAGAACGCCAAAAAGTACTAAAAAAAATATCTGGTTCAGGAACAGAAAAAAACTATTCTTCCTCGTGGTTTGCATATAAAAAGCTGTTTTTTATTTCTGATTCAACAACACCAAGGGAAACTAGAAATAGCGAGGAAGATAATAACCCGACAAGCGCTAATAATAATGAAAACGTAAGTTGTTTTTATAATTTTTTTTATTGCGATAACCATATAATGTGTTTATTTTATTTGGGTTTATAAACTCATTTGTTATTTGTAAATTAATAAACAATTCACTACATTTAATAATAATAATCTTCTCATTGCATTATAATATCTTTACACATAATAAAAAAATCTTGAACAGTTGTACATTATAATACGAATAAAACGTATCCCCATTATCTCCTAATTTAATCTAATCTAATGAAAATTAGATTAGATTATGATTATGATTATTAAATCATATAATAAATAAATATAAATGTTTTTGCAATTTTGCAAATTCATTTTCGATATTGTATTTGTTTATAAGTATATGTCCTGAAATGGTACTGATCCAATTTCTGATATAAAATATGACATAAATTCTTCTCTGATGTTTGTTGCAGTTGTCGCTGGTCTTTGTGGGATTAATCGAAGTGGCCCCAAACCCGTGTCACCAGAAGTAATTTCTCTCTACGATCCAGGAATAATTTCCCCTGTACTTGTATCATAATTATCGAAACACCCTGATGTTGTATAACATTGTCTACAATCGGGTTGCACTCTTAAAAAATTGTGAAGGTAAACACAAGCCAATACAATGTTAACTATTGTATCTTCAACTTTAATTTCTATTGGCTTGCGGAAAACTCTAAACACAGAAGCAAGTATATCAAATATATTTTCTATAATACGTCACGCTCTGGACAACCTATAATTGTATTCTCTTTTTGGAGATCATTTGTTTAAATCTGTATTGTATGGTTTCATTATATGTTCAGTTAATGGGAATGCATCATCAGACACTAAAACATAATGAAGTGATAACGTACAGCCAGGCAGTGGTTCATTTTCTGGCAAATTAAGTTCATTTTTTTCAAATTTCTCATAGAATGAAGTATTTTTGAAAACACCTCCATCTGAAATTCGGCCTTGGCATCCAACTTTAACATACAAGAAACGATAGTTAGCATCGGCTATTCCTAATAAAACAATACTATCAGTTCCTTTGTAGTTGTGAAACTCACTAATCGTATTTTCTGGATTTTGAATTACTACGTGTTTGCCGTCAATGGTACCGAAACAGTGGAAAAAATTCCACATAGCTTATTGAATTTGTTTGCGATATATTTCCACTCTTGGTCACTTGAGGGAAGCTGTAGGAAAAATAATACATTAAATGATATAATAATAACAATAATAATATAATGTATTATACAAATGTATGATACATATAATGCAATAAATATTTCATTGCAGGATTTGCAAAATGAAGAAATATGTGACAATTTTCAAATGACTACAACTGGAGATTATGGATTCATACAGCCAATAAGAATAAAAAGAAATTTAAAAAAAAGTTTTCGGGATGAGAGAGAAGATGAGGCGTACAAATTTATGAAAAAAGCAGCAAACGAAATATCTACAAGAGATGAATTTTGTACATTCGGCACTTTTGTAGCAGATAATGTAAGGAAACTTAAACCCATAAACCAAATTTTGGCCAAACGTCAGATTACCAATATGCTTATGGATTTAAAAATTAAAGAAATGGAAACGTGTGAGAGACAACTTGAATCTCCAGAAACCTCAGTTGGAACAAACAATAGTGATACCCAGTCTTTCATATTTAACGACTCAACAAATCTTGCAGTGAACACAGTTAATCGCTTGACTTCACATGACAACATAAACACGACATTCAAACTCGGCGAATATTTATCATTTAATACAACCAATAAGGACATTTAATGTGCTTACCTACATTCTTTCATTTTTCATTCACACATTTTTTAATGTATTAAAAATTAAAAAGGCCATTTAATATTTAATAATAAAATGTTTCCTACTTATTGTTAGTTAGGATAATAAAATATTTAAAACGTATTATAATATTAATAAAATAATGAATTCATTATATAATAAAATGTAATTACTTATAAATTATACCTAATTTTAATTTAATGAATACAATTACTTACCTTGATATAATTCTGTAGAGCATTTACTATAGCTTTCAAAACTGCGGTCAACATAGTCGATATGAATGGCTTGGAAACTTTGAACAGGTACATTAAAGAAGAAAATGAATCTCCAGTAGCTAAATATCTTAGAACTATTAACAACTTAATTTTAGCTGGAACAGCCCCTCTGAAAGAAGTGTTTTACTATTTCTGGTTCAATTATTTTTAATATTGAGTAAAATTTTGTTCTGGACATTCGCGTAAAGGTTCCAAATAAAATATCTTCATCTAACTGTAAATTATCTATAATTTCGTAATTTCTAGTTTTTAAATAATTATTAGTCCACATAGAACGCTTCTTTCTTTGCACTCGCAATAATTAAGTATGCCACGCTGACACCAAGAAGTATATTTTGTGAATCCGACATGTTTTTTGTTAACAAACTAATAGACAACTGCTTTGTGGCATCGCTGGTGTGAACAGAAAAAAGCAGGCGTATAAATCATTCAACAAAGGCATGCGCTTAGTGAAAGTGGAAAGGCAAGTTGAATTGAAAAATGAAAAGGAAAGCGCACGAGTATAAACATACATTTTCAGAAATATAACGGAAATCCACTATAGTTAAGTAGGTAGGTACCTCTATATATATATATACATATGATTATTACATAGATCTAGATAATATATAGGCATAAATTTATGATGACCAGATATAAAAATCCAATAAAAAGTACATTTTAAAATGTATGTCTTCCATTATGAGAAAACCCTTCCCTTGAAAGAATTGGCCAATGTGTATACTATTTTACCCATTTTTCCCCATAGCTCATCTCTATCTATAATACATTTTTTTTTATCTGATTAATCTATTATTATTTTTGCTATTGTCAACTGTAAAAACTGATTATTTGAAATTATAATGTCAACTCAATTGATTTGTCTATTTATGATGAAAATACTTTGAAATTTAAGTAATTTCAAGTAAACTTAAAGCATACATGTATATTGTATAACTGAAGTATACATTTTTAAATATAAAAGAAAAAAACAGCTGATACTGAAAATGGTTATTGAATTGTTTATTGTTAATTGATTTTTGACATTTTATTGCTTATTGTTAGCTACCTAACTTTAATAAAGTTATTTAATAGGTATATGGTATGTTTGGTATGTAATATCGTAAAAATTCACCAGAACCAACGTGCTGAAATGTATATTTTGCAGTAGCAAAGAATAATATATTAGTAAGAGATTATCACGAGAATCATTTCGCCGTGCCAAAATCTCACAATTTTCTTCTACTATTCACGTATTACCTACCACCATATTTTAAAAACATAATATAATGGTAGTGATCGGTAAGTAATACTTATCCGAGTTTTGTTAATACCACGAGTTATTTTTGATACCAAAATGATACTTGGCGAAACCTATTGGCTATTCCATTAACTATTCTATTATTATTTGCTATATTGTTATATCTGTGAATCGGATATTAATTCGATTAATTATTCTAAGAAATTGTATAAGTATAAACTAATACATTAACAGTATTTTTTTTTAAACATACCTGCATCAGATGTGAATACATTTGCGGTATATATTTTTTTAATCAAATTGAGCGAAGTTTACATATTTAATATCATCATTTTCTAAATGGTTTAAAACCATTAAGCCCCCGACTTCCTATCGTCCGGTAAATTGCTAAAGAAAAAAAACATACAATCCGACTTACAAGTGTAATTATTTATACTAAAACCTTAAAAAACCATTTACAGTCTTATTATTAGGACTATAAGCCCCCCAAAAGTTCCCCGACAATCGCCAATTTTGGATCGCCATTACTATGCCATCAATCTAACTGATCATTCATATGACAATAAATATAATGGTACATTTTTTTTTTATTGATACATTATTTAATATTAGCCAAAAGTAATGAAAATTAATTGTAATCAGACGAAATGAAAAAAAAAAACGAAAATCCAAATGGAATACATACAACGAATATTGATAATATTACTACCTCCGCCAAATTCAAATCAAATAAAATGAATTGAAAATAGTTTAGGGCTTTTTCAACGGGTTGCGCCCCCCGGGTTATCAAAACAGCCGGCGAGTGACGGCAAAGTCAGATCGTGGTCGTTGGCTTCATTCGCCCACGAGTAGCGTTGACGAGGCGATTTTCTTTTGGCATAGATTCACCCGATGTAAGATACAGATTACCCATTTAAAAAAGGACAAAAGAAGAAAAACATAAAAGGTTTTTCGGGTATGCGAGCGTACCTTAGAACGATTGTGTTCCCAACTCCGACGGTTTTTTTTCTCGCATGGCCAACACAGTGCCATCAAAACGAAGAACACCGTGATAAGCACGCTTTCCATTAGGGAAATCACGACGGTAAATATCCAGTTAATCGCACTGGTGTATTTTATGTTGATCATATTATCAGAATATTTATGAAGTACGTGCACGAATGTACAGGAGAATCAAAAAGCTAACAAAAACATAAAAACTATACTATTAGTTAGGTATATTGAACTTCCCCGTCTGGTCCCCGTCCCACGAGACTCTTTCTTACATGGGAACATACGGGCCCGCTGGTCACGTAGTGTTTCCATGGACATAAGGTATGTGGTGTGATTTCAGGAAATGAAGTTAAACTAGTCGGAGTCGGTTATTTAGGTAATGTATGAAGGTTTGGGCATTGTAAGTAGAATGATGGGCACGAATGTTGCATGAATGTGTGCAGCAAATAAGGCAGATGGTCGCGGTGAATGTGGAATAAATCTAATTTTTCGATTTTTTTTTTTTTTTTTTCAGAACATATGTATATTTCCAATTTAAGAACGATGGGAAAGGCAAAATTGAGCGGACTAAGTTTTGAAATTATAGCTTTTTGAAGTTCTGATATTATATGTTATGTTAAATAACTAAATATTGTCATCTCTAAGGTATTTTTGTTGTAATCTATTCGTAATACGTGCCTATGAGCATCATAAGGTTCGCGAGTTCAAACCCGGGTTTCGAAAAATAATTTTTAGCATTTATTTTTTACTTAAAAATCCCTTTACTTAAACAGGGAAACACAAATGCATTTTACCAAGAGAGTACCCAGCTATGGCTCGATTTGTTGTGCAAATTTTTCTACCAGAAATCTTGCTCCAATGTTTTGAGTGTGGCTTATTTTCTGAAAGGAAAATTTATCTCCATGGTAATTTAAGGAGGTAATTTTTCGATTTTCCTAGGAGTTTTCTTAACAAATGTGAAAAACCGAAAAAAAAAAACGGGAAAATGTACCAAATGTAGGTATTAGTTGAAACATATTTTGGCCTTCATTTTTCCTGAGAAAAACTTATCTACCAGCAATTTTGCTCCGATTTACAATAATAGCATTTTTATTAAAAGAAAATTTGACTTGAAAGGTACTTTAAGGTTATTTTTCGATTTTTTCAGTTGTTTTCTCAGTAAATGTGAAAAACCGGGAAAAAAAAACGGACAATATTAAACAAATATTATTAAAAAATATATATAATGTCTATTTACATTTTTTACCATAATATGACATATATATTGTTGATAAAGCATCACTACCAACTGAACTGCGCTCAGAATTGTTTTTTTATTAGCAATAATGATTTATTGTTGCTTACAGGTATACATAAAAATTACTTATAACAGTGGCTGCATCCGACCCGATTATCCTAGGGCGTCTTATTCATTTTCTTTTTTTCTGGTTTTATGCTGTATGTTTTTCTTCTTTTAGATTTTATATTAATTGCAATATGCAAAAATTGCTTCAGTTATAAGTTCTCTTGTCATTGGAATTAGTTCAACCCTTCCACCGTAAGTTCTAAGAACAATTTTTATATTGAGTTTAGCGTTTAATTTTTACTTTTAGACTAAGAGCTCACAATGTAAATTCAACGTCATTTTCATTAAAAGGTTTTAATATTCTCATTTATTTTAATAAATATTTCTAATTATGTATCTTTAAATCTGGTGGTACTTGATTGGTGAGTGTGGATAGTGTACTTAATAAACATCCTTTAAATTGCACTGAAGTTATGTTATGTTTATTATGTTAGTAATTAGAATTAAATGATAGTATAATTGGTCAAGATTAATTATTTACTCAGCCATATCAAAATAGTGCTTTCATAGAACTAGACTAAGTCAAACTTTCTAAAAATTGCACGTTACTTACATCATTTTTATTATAATCTAAACCAGATAACATTTCAATAATATGGTTGCATTTCACTATTTCTAAACCTTTGACAAAAGGTATTTTAAAAATCACTAATATATTGAAATATATCGTTGATTTCTATTACAGAATTAAACATTATGTATTTGTATTACTACAAATTATAAACAAAATAAGTTTTATAAGGAAATTTTTAAAAAAACTAGTAATAAATGGATCATTTTGGCTAAATTACTATTATTGTAATGCTATTATAGCACTCATTTTCCCTTAGCATTATCATTAGTGTCGACTAGAGTGCTACCTATAGTTTCTTTCAATCGTAAACATAGATAAGAATACTAATCGTGAATAATATATGGTGTAATTATTTTACTTTTGTTTTATTAACTGCATGCCCCATGTAATATTGTGCATAATACTCTCGAGTAATTTAATGCATGAAGTCCTGCACTAATATAGTTTTGGTGTGCATTGGATCATTTATAGCACACATTAAACTTTTAGTTTTTTTAGGGTCAAAAAAGGTCGACAAATTTTTTAAGTATTTTTCCATGTCATCTTGACTACAAAACTAAACACATTTTTTTTTTAAAAAAAAAAAAAAAAAATATCATGAAAAAAGTGGGGTTAAGTAATACATAAGTAATAAGAACTGTTAAATATAAAACATGATACTATAAAAATTAATGGTAGGTTGGTAATTTTGGTATGCTTACTGACGTATAATCCATAAATACTTAAAACTATTAACAAACTCTTCAAAAAAGCGTTTATAAATGCAAAATTGTTGAAGTAGCTTAAAAGTCCTATCTTTATTGGCTCTTACTTATTAAATACAATTTTTTAATACACTACACAAGTGATAAGACTTACAATTTTATTGAAAAAATAAAGACTGTGATAATCACAAAACTTTACGTAGTGTTAGAAAATTATATTTAATAATTTAAGTCATTCGAGGGACGACTTAAACCCTTCTACCATTTTTTACTTTTTTTAAATATTTTTTGTAGATTTTAAGTACAATAACTTTAGAGCTTTAAAAACTATTAATTATATTTAAAATGTTTATTAATTAATATATTGACTTTAAATTATTTGGATCGGTTTAACAGAAGAATTCAATTAGATTATAAATAATTGATTAACAAATTGTAGTAGTGCTTTACAATTTATTAAAATGTCCGTGTTGGATAACGCTGATGAAATATGTTTAAACGATATTCTTAATGATATAATTTAACTCTTAAATAAAATTAGAGTTACAGATTCTTATGATTAACAGTAATTTTTATTTCACTCTCAAAACATTTTGAACAATTATCTATAGTGCTTGTGAGTAAATCATAACAAACATTATTAAATTGATATTGTTACTATCAATATCAGTAAAAGTATGTTATTACTTTAATTATACTCTCATTTATTGATTTAAAATATTTTGATTATTATTATATTAGATAAAATAATCTTGCTCTTTGTAATATCATAATATCATTGAAGAAATTACAAGAATTTTTTTTAATTTGAACATATTTTAATAGTTAATTAGATATAACTACATTTTCTTTAGGGAATAGATTACATAGACAAATTGATTCTACTTTTTACAGTCTCAAGAAATAAAGAACACTTGCATTATTAGAGGGAAGCACATCGTAGCATTAAATCAGCTGGTAGTTTGGAAGTCAAGAATTCTAATTCCTTTCTCCCACCTGGTTTTTGTAGCCATCTTTTTTCTTCATAATAATCTAACATATTATTAAATTCTATTGTAGACAGCTCAGGAACCAATACTGGAATGAATGGATCAATGTGTTCAAATCCCTAAAAAAAATATATGTTAAAAACTAATTTAAATACGGTTAAGATAATACACAAAAGTAATGAGAAATAAAACAAATTTATAATTTTAATAAAATAATGTAAATTGGAGAACTAAAAATTATTTTAATTGATTTTCAAAAACATATGGATAACCTAAGAGTATATACAGAAATAAACATTTTCTAGTAATTGCAATGTTAATTTTTTTTTTTTTTTTTTTTATAATTTAATTCAAATGAGAATAAAAACTGTTAACAATATTGTCATGTTTTTAATATTCATTTAGAAAACAAAAAACTAAACAAATTTAATACTTGCAAAAGATACAAAATTTGAAACTTATTATTAAAATAATAATATTTGAATGACCATTGAAAGATGTTTTTTACAAAAATAAATAATAGTTAATAAATTTAATAAAAATAAAATATTGTTTTACTTGTCGTCCAATTAGGTAAATAGGCAAATGAGACTCCCTTCTTGTATTTAAAGCTGCTCTAGGTGATGTAACCATAACTATTGCACCATTATTCTATTATAAGTTAATAAAATAGTTAATACATTACAAATATTAAATGTTAATTTTATTATATTACCCAGTCAGAAAGAACAGCTGATAACCCTGTTTGGACCATGCTAACTTGTTGAGGAGTAACTTTAACTCTATCCTCCGTTTTCAAATCTGTTTTCTCATTAAAGAATGCATTAAACCCATCTATTGCTACTAACATTTTGCATCTAAAATTTTACATATAAACATATTAAAAACAGTATTTTATTGTATGTGTTATGGTTAATTAATATAGTTTACAGCAGTGTTGAGTAACTACAGCCTGCATTTATTTATTAATCAGCCAACCATAGTATTAAATCAAAATTGAAAATTTTGAAAATTAACACACATTAAAAAAAGATATGTTTATACTTTTCATTTGTAACAATCAATAAATAATAAATAATTAAATATATCATTGTATCTATATTAAGATTATAATATTCTGTTAACTTAAAAGTATAAGTTTTAATTCTTGGCCTGTCAGAATTATTCAGTCCTTATTTTTACCTTAATGATATTTGTTCATTATCTTTTTAGCTATAATTTAATAATTTATAAATATTCAAGATTTTATGAAAAATAAGGTTTTGCAATGAGTTTTAGACATTTTTACTAAAACATTTATTTAGTTTTAATTTTTCCAATCATATATATATATAAAAAAAATACATAATTTTACTATTGAAGTTATATTAATGATTAATGAGGTATATACACAGTTTATCAAAATAATATAAACTATATACGTGGTGGTTAGGTTTCATCTCAAAAGTTTGAATCAACGTTTGACTAATTTATCATAGTTAACTACATTACATTACACTTTAATTACCACAACTATAAATAAAAAAATTTAAAAACTGTGAAGACATTGCGTATAATTGTCTAACTATAAAAAATTCTAAAAGTAATTCATAATACAAGTCTATATGCTTGGATTTTGTACAATTGTTCAGTTGATTTTTTGAAAATATGTGTATTAAAAAGACATCTAACACACTAATTAGTTGTTCTTGATTTATAAGCACGTAAAAAACAAATTTTCATTCAGCAGAATTACTTTTTTATTATTANATAATACTTAAAAGTTAAATTAATCATAATAAACAAAGAACTATTTGTAATACAATATTTCTATTCCATTTTTTGTGCTATTTAAATATTGAAGTACATTGACTTAGTATTTAACTTAAAAAGACGTTCTAGGAAAAAGGAAACGGGTGCAGCCACTTTTATAAGTAATTTAATGTATTTCTGTAAGTAACGATACATAATATACATGTATGGAAAAAAAAAAATTGAAAAATTAGATTTGTTAGAAATAGTAATTCTTTTATTAAAAAAAAAACTACATTAAACTCAAATTTTTTTTAACGCAAAGTAAGACTCATCATGAACCTCGTGTTTAATTTTCAAGCATTTCAAACANAATCATAATAAACAAAGAACTATTTGTAATACAATATTTCTATTCCATTTTTGTGCTATTTAAATATTTAAGTATATTGACTTAGTATTTAACTTAAAAAGTTGTTCTAGGAAAAAGGAAACGAGTGCAACCACTTTTATAAGTAATTTAATGTATTTCTGTAAGTAACGATACATAATATACATATGTTTGGAAAAAAAAAATTGAAAAATTAGATTTGTTAGAAATAGTAATTCCTTTATTAAAAAAAAATACTACATTAAACTCAAATTTTTTTTACCGCAAAGTAAGACTCATCATGAACCTCGTGTTTAACTTTCAAGCATTTCAAACAATCTTACCACAGAGTACCTACCGAATACAAATTGCATACAAAACTTGCAAAGTTAAAATGTCTATAAATAGCTCAAAAATGACTTAAATTTGTTGAAAATTTTGCCACGTCTAGAAGAGGCAGATATTAATTTCCTGTCCAAATTTCAAGACTGTATGAATATTTTTAACTGAATTACAACAAATAACAAAATTATAAAATAATAAAAGTATCATTTCATAAATTTCCTGTTTTTCTTATGTTTTTTCTAGATGAAAACCGCTTGGAAAATCAAAAAAAATGTCCTCCCAAAAGTACCACCTGGACAATATTTAAGAAGTGGTGCCACGCGTATATATCGGAGCCAGATTTTTGTTGGTAGAATTTTTGTACAGAGTATAAAAAAAAAAAATAAACATTTTAGTAAAACCAATACACTTTTTGTTACACTCAAAATCTAAAATAAGAATATTATCTATGTTTATAAGTTTATTTTTTGTTTAATATTTTAATTTTCAGACAAGATACATGAATTTTCAATTATACCTCACTTAAAAATTAAAATATTGAAAAAAAATGAATATACTTAGAAAACTACAAATACAGATAATATTCTTACTGTTAAGTTTGACAATAGATCAACTTACTCTTACCTATATTAAACCAAACGGCACAAAGTTGGTTTTGCTGAATACAAATTTGCTAAGTTATACAAAACAAATGAGTGTGGTCACAATTACAATAATAATTTTTTTAAATTTACTGCCACAGCATTTAATAGTTGCTATTATATTTAAGAAGAACTAAAGCAATAGTTTATTAGGCTAGACTTACTTATTATTTGAACAATGTGCTTTTAATTCATTTAGTAGATAATCCATACAGTCACATGCAAACTTGGCTCTATTTATGCCATGCGAAATGAATTCGTTTAATGTAGTTCCTTTAGGTGTAGTTTCCCGTATACTCCAAATATAATCTTGACTTGTTGTAAGCTTAAAATACAAATAATAATAGTTATAATGTATATTTGAACTATAATAATATATATATATATATATATTTATAACTACAATATGATCATATTTTTCTAAAAATTAATTACATTGAGTTCATCTAATAAAGCACCATTTTGATGTTTGAAATGTTTTAGCCATTGTGCTGCTATTAAAGGTACATCAGCTAAACCATTTTTTGTAGGTGACCAGTTGACTTCTTTGCGGCCATATTTAAGCCATATTGGTACTAAAACAAACAATTTTTTAAAAAAATATCAACAATTACTGTAAATTATAAATTATAATTTTACCATAGGGGATATGATATAAAATAAACTTGGAACTGTAAGCATAATGAAGTATGTGTGCAAGACTGAGTGATTTACCACTACCAGTCTGACCATCTGAATAGTAAACTAAGGAATATATTAATTTTAATAATATGTACGCATAAATTTCATTTTTAGATTATATGAACTATGATATAGTACTCAAAGGATACATAGCAAGTAGCGGCGAGCTGGTTTATGATAATCAGCCGATTTGAGGCTATGTATAATTTCTAATGCTGGATTTCGTACCATTAATGCAGTTTCAGCAAAAACCGTGGTTTGTTCAACGAAAGGCTTTGGTAAACCACCAGTATAAAATATACTACTAACTGTTTTTGCATCTATGGTGTAAAATTTTGATAAATCATGACTGTCATGATCCGCCTAAAAATGTACATTTTATTTATTATTTCCAAAATCAACCAAATTTCATTAATTGTAGGGAATATACAAACCGGATTTTTCTTGTCAGTACGGGATGCTGTTGGAATCTGATACTGTGCTTCTTGTTTTACTGCTGCTGTTGCATAGTTACACACACGCCTATAAGCTTTCATTTTTAATTTCTGTTACAAAATTGTTTATATTACATTTAACACCAAGATAATTAAATAAACATGCTACTATTCTAAACAAAAATCCCAGTTACAAGTGTAGATTACTAAATAAATTGTACATTTAATTTTCATTAGGTTAGGTTTTATCAGAATATTAAATAATCAATAATCAGAAAAAATGATAAGAAATTTGATTAAACCATAGAGTAACTCAGTAACAGTGTTACTCCTAGAAAACTACTAGAATAAACTTAATAAAATCTTTTTTTTTTTTTTAGGGGGGACGACGGTTGGGCATAATGGTATGGATATCAATATGCTACCCCTCCTATAAACTAACATACGTATGTTAACTATATTCTGTGTATTTAAAATACAATTTTTTTTACATTAGTGTATTAGTGTTTTTGAACGGTTGTTTTAAACGTTTTAAATTATTGTATACTTTTTAGTTTGTCAAATAGACGTAAACACCAAAATGTAAGTACCTACAATCTATTTTGTTATTAAAGCTATAGGTATTAATATAGAGTTAATATGTTATTTTAAATTTTGGTATTAACAATTTGAAAAATAAAATTTAATATTTAGGTATTAAACTGATTATTATTAATTCTTGGATATTTGTGAAATACCTAATATCTTTATGTATGCAACAAATCATATTGATATCATTAAGGTATTTATGTTTCAGCGACTTTAAAATAAAATATTTTAAGAATATTGTGATTTACAATATAGGAAAATATACTTGACTTGTTAAGTTTGTTATTAAAAATTTGTATCCAATTACTTTATACAATAATTGCAATTTAACAATGTGGTACCTATCTTTCGTTGGTTATTTGCAATTTTTTTTTAGAATTTTATTTTTATATCTATGTACCCATCTAGTATTAACAGTATAATTTAAGCTCTAAATATTATTGAAAAAAAATAATTTTTTTTTGTTAATTTTAATTTCTTTATTATTTAAATTGTATTAATTAAAGACACAGAAATGTTTAAATGTATTTTGTGTTTTTCCATTAATTTATTATGCACCTATCTGACAATAAATTAGGCACAGTCTCCTTAAACCTCGGCTTGAACAATAATTCAGTAACAGTAACTATAATTAAACATTTAGGTACCTAATAAACCTTACATGGTAATTAATAAGATTAGTAGTAGGCACTATCTTTAAATATTATTTTATTTTCCTGTTTCTTGCAGGACATGTTCTGTGATATATCTAGTCAAAAAAAAAAACCATTAATTTAAGTCAAAAATTATAATAATAATATGTTGAATAATGAATGCTAAAGAACGTGCACGTAATAGATGGAAATTATTGGCAAACACAGTCAGTAAAAAATGTCAAGACCAAATACTCGCAGCACACATAAGTTATGATCTCTTTAATGTTGAATGCATCAATACTGAATGGTATAAATATTCTGCACGGGTCCAAAGCAATTATTTCAACGCAAATGTGTGTCGATCTTCTATAGTTGTTACGCCCGAGGAACTTATGGGCTTTAACAATACTGGAAATGTGCGTATATGGCCATCTGAAGAGGTATTAGCTTACTATGTACTATCAAATCTGGATATATTCCGAGATAAGACTGTATTAGAGCTAGGCGGTGGTATGAGCTGTTTAGCAGGTATCATGGCCGCTCTATACGGTTATTGTTGTAATGTTCATTTGACTGATGGAAATCCGAATTCTGTATATAATGTTGAACGTATACTTGAGAAAAATGTGTTTACATCAAAGGTTTCGTGTTCGGTTAGTTATTACTTATAATAATCATCATTTTTATATTATTAAAACAAACAAATACATAATATGTACCCAGCTATTTGTTGTTCTTTTATTTATTTCAATTTCAATTTTTGTCATTAACCTGATATATTTTGCATTATTAGTACCTACCTACCTACTTAATTTTACTGTATTGGGCTTCAGAAAAAATATCTAATATAATTTGTTTGTTTTTTTTTTGTACTTACTGTTTGGTTGTGTTACATTCTTAAATAGTTGTAGTCTTAGTGAAAAATCAGAATTCTTGTTTAAAAGCATGTTTTTGAAGAAGTTGAAATTAATGAACAAGTCAATATTTGCATTTTCAATTGTTTCTGGAACTAATGGTAACATTCGCTGATTAGGTGTTGAAATGGAACCAACGACCTGCAAACGTTTGTCATTATGATGTGGTACTAGCTGCTGATTGCCTATTTTTTGATGAAGCTCGTGATGATTTGGTACATACTATTGCAGCATCGTTAGCATTTGATGGAGTAGCATTGGTAGCTGCTCCAAAACGAGGGACTACATTGTACGAGTTCATAAACATGGCACAGCAAGAAGGTTTAGTATGCTCTGTGCAACAAAACTACAATGCGTTGGTGTGGGAGCGTCATTCTAAACAGGTTCTCTTCAACTCATTATATGACGCCGATTCACATTATCCTTTGTTGATAAGTATTACCAAAGCGACCAACATTTACAATTGCCAATTTCAATAAAATATTTAAGAAATTACATTATTTGGATATATGTATTTTAAATATTGATAACTTATTATTGCCAGTAGATTAATTCCTAACATTTTGCGGCATTACAAATTATGATAATTACCTATTACAGGGAATCAATGTGTTTCTGTAGTATAATTCAATAGTTACATTTCAGTATTTGTTATTACAATTATTAATGTTTTTTTTTTTTTTTACTATTAATATTTAAATATATTGTTAGTAAAACATATAATATTTTAGGTGCCCACCTTATTAATTTTAATTTCCAAACTTTAGTTATACATAGTGTATTATAGAATTAAGTCCAATTTGAATTATTTATACCTTATGCTATAGACTACAATTGAAAATAATTATTTTTCATTAGTTCCATTAGTTTTAATTAATTTTATAGGTTCCTATCCTAAATATGAAACTTAACATCAAATAGAGTTCCTTAATATTCTAGAGTTTAAAAAAACAATTTTCTTAACAGGGTGTTGATTTTTTTTTCTATTTTCTATTTAAAAATAATCAATAATTATTGGTGATAATCTTAAATCAACATTTGTTTTTTTTAAAGTCGCCAAATATTTACAATTTCCTTTTGGTTTTTCCTTAGAAATTGGACATTATTAGGTGTTAAGACATTGAATTACATGATGAATTGATCTCTACATTTTGGTAGCTATAATCTGGTTATAACAACTGAACTCTCTCAAAAAACAATTAAAAATGCCTGAAAAGTTATTTTTTTTTTTAAATATAACAATTTTTTGACCAATTAATATATTTGAAGATGAAAAATTAATTAAAAATATCAAAAATGTATTTGTGAAAGACAAGAGTGCATATTGCTAAACATTTTTGATATTTATTATAGTAAGTATTCATAGGCCTTAGAATATGTTTGATGTGTTTATTCTTGGTTTCTTAATAATTACATTGTTGTACTTACATACAACTTATTATCCAAGTACTTTTGTTTATATCCTAAATTTGATTTATTGTGTTTTTTTATATGGTTGAATTTTCATATAATACTGTTTTGATTTCTAAAAATCTCGTGAATAATACTTGTATAAATTTCAACACATACTACTTTAATATAAGTATCTATAAAATCTATCAACAATTGAGTTATTCGATATTTGTGGATATTAAAATTATGTTTTAATTAATTACCTTAAATACAAATAAGAATTGGCTTACAATTTATTGAAGATATTTAAGTGTTCAATAATCAAATAAATAATATCTAGACATTTTTCTCTAATTGTTATTCATTGTTTGATTAAATAATTTTTAGAAATGGACAGACAATAATTTATGCCACCTTATCTTTTATTTACATTACACTTGTGGTTATTTTTTTCTTTTATTTAAAACTTAGTGTTTAAAAACCATAACATTACCAATTGTGTACTTGAATTTCCTGTAGTTTTCATTTTCCATTACATACAATATGTTCCTATTAATTTGCTATTTTGTCCTTTCATCAATTATAAAATTGTAGAAAAATATAACACTTTGTTTTTTAGCATAGATAAAAAAAACAATCTTGTAAGTATATTTATTTTTTATCATAGTAATAATTATTTTGAACACCAATACATTAAACACATTGAATTTATTCATATTAAACTATTACGTGGGTATATATTTATACATATTGTAATTTTAGTGCTATTATAAAACCTAGAGGGTCCAATTTAGAAATAATATAACTCAATTTACATTTTGGTTATATAAATATAATAATGGTATTTTATTCATTAGTATTATATTTACAATATATTGTTATGGATATATTTAAAAAAAAAAAAGACAATTATTTTTTACACTGTTACCATATTATAATAATATGTTTATTAAACATATCTAGTCTCATTTAGTGATTTAAAATTTATAATTTTTTTTTTTATTAACTAGAATAGTGATTTATTTATTTCAGTAAAATTATATTGGTACATCATTTATTAGCTTAGTTATAATAATTTATAAATGTGATAATTGCACAAATATTTATATATTATATTAAACATCATTATTATGTATATAAGTATTGTTTGTACAACTTCAAACATATTTTAGATTTTTTAATTTTAAATAATACAATTGTATGGATATTCATTCCAATCGGGTTTCTATGTTAATCACTGCTCGAATTGGGGATGGGTTGCAGGCAAATGGAATCCTCTTTCATTTTTTTTAAATATTCATCCTCTTCATTCATTTAGGGAAATTAGGAATTTTTCATAGAAAGAGTCTGTATTAATTTGCATTGCACAACTGTTCATCATTTTTGTTATCTAAAATTAAAATTTTGTAGCTCTTTGGCTTTTGGAAAAATATCTATAATAAAAAATTTTATAAACATTTATAAAATAATTGTTGTTTATATTCCTCTGTAGTTAAACAATCTTTCATTAGATTTCCTTATATTTTAACTGCTTTTGCCAGAGATCAACCTTAAAATTAATTATTTTATTTTTGTCAATGCTTATTATTTTTTCTTTTTAACAAGGTAGATTTAATAGAAGTATTAAATATCAAGGTATTGCCTCCTGTTTTTTTATTTCTTCATTTATCTGCCATGTAACTATGGTTTATAAAATAAAACCAATGGTCCGTTTCTCCCCACTTCGAGCACTGATGTTACTTAAACATAATATTGTAACTGTAAGCCGATTCATATTATTACGTGATTATTTTATTATTATGCCTACAAGATGGTTTTAAACATATTTAATAATATACATTTTAGTTTATATCACCTACTTATTATTGTTATTAACGAATTATTTTTTAATCGTATAATAAAATTTAGCGGTTAACAATTAAATCGTGGTCGTATTTTTATTTAAAATTTAAATAAAAAGACCGCATTAGTAATCTGCCAATACATGTCGATCAGTAATCACTCTCTCCTCCTCTCTTTTTCTTTCCCTCTTATTCTCATTTTCTCTCGCAGTGATTGACAATAACAGTTGTGTGGGCGATATGTGGTACATGCGGACACATCAATACCCGAGAGTTATATTCGGTTACTGTTTTGACGTGAGTGTAAAATTAATCAAAGGAAGAACATTTTCAAACCGCCTCGACTATGGTCGTTCGTCTACAATGCGTTCATGATTTGAAAAAAAAAACCCCCATTGCCAAGGACCGCCGTCACAATTCTGTAAGTGTCTGCAGTGAGTGCCTGTTTGACCTGTTTCCATTTGTTGGTGGCGCAGCGCCCGAGAATTGACCTAAATGTACCTATATAGTTAAGTACTTATACCTAAATTCGGTTTATGACATTTTTTTAAGTCGCTAAAACACTAAATACAATAATATCATGGATTTTATTGAATACTACTAAATTGTTAATACCTAATATCTAATGTAAATTATCTATTAATACGTTATTTTCTGGGAATGAAGAGAAAACCAAACCAGTAAACATTTGCATAGGTACGTGTTAATGGGTTGATAACCAGTGTTGTGAAAAAAACAAGTTGAATAGAATAAAATATTCAAAAAAAGATCCTATTTTATTTTTAAAAAATAACAAAAAACAATATTGAAACGTAATAAAATAGTAACTTTCCGAATATTTTCTCTATCTTTCTTTTCCTATATTCTACGGAAGACTCCTTAATTTGCTATACACTTACTATGTAATTTAAATAACTTATTTGAAGAATTTTCCTGAGTCATCCCTCGAATGTTAGTAATTTGTTTCTTCAGCCTTCCCTCTTCCCTACTGCCCATGTTACCCCACGAGAGCATGTTTTTCTTTATTTTCATTTCTAATGTTTCCGGTAATGAGTAAAGTTTTTTTTTTCTATTTAATGCAAATCTTGTCAGTTGTAATCTGCGTTTTATTTCTTTGATGCAACATTCATCATTTGTTACTAACAATAGTTTCCAAGTATTAAAAATTATCAAAGAAACAGGGGCGTCATTTCAGGTACTGCAGTGTATGCTTGTGCATACTTAAAATTAATAAACATTGTATTTTGACCCGACTTTAATTTTTTTTCGTCGGTAAAAAAAATATTTTTTTTAATTGGTCTTAAGCATCGGTAATTATAGTCATAAGCTAGCTGTACTAGGTATGTTATAGTAAGTGTAAACAATTTTCTTTGTAATAATTTTATAGTAAAATATATATTAGCCAACTGAAAATTGTTTGGCCTACCTATTGTTAACATACCTTTCAAAAAGTTGAAAAGATACTCTTGTTTTTTCAGGTGTATCATACTAACTGTCTAGTTTTATAATAGGTGGAGTTGTTTCATTGTGACTATGTTGACGAACATTTTAGTTTTTATTTTATTTATTTCCATATTGTATTCTTTAAATATAATATTCATTATCATTAGAATAATATGTAAACCTTCTTCACACATTTTTAATATCGTAATGTCGTCTTCTTAGATGTCCACTTTTTCGTCTTATACTTTTATTCCTACTCCGAGTATTTTAACTTGTTGTGTGGGATATTCTTACGATAAACACAATGTTTATAAGCAAAAAGAGAACAAATCTTTTTTTGTTAAAGAAAATTAGTTTATATAATAAAAGTATAATAAAGTTCCCTCAGTATACGACAATTCATTTTTGTTTTTGTCATTCCCATTCATCGTATGTACTTTGGTTACTTTTGACACTTTGCCTTTATCCTGCACAGGTGAGAGCCATTAATTACTCGTATTATTCTCCTCCACATCTCTTTGTCTATCCCTAATCTTTAGCATTATTTTCTTTAACCCAGCTCTTCCCCGAGTTACCAGTGTATACTTATCGTCTATTGAACTCTTGAAGTCTTCACTATCTTTTTTTGTTTTGATTTCACTACAAATTTGAATGAATTTTGAATTGCTACTTTTCGATTATATTGTTATACTACTGTATTATGATTACTTACAATATTTGATTTTTTTTATCTATTTTTTTTTTTTATTCGGGTGGGAGGACTATAACCAGTTTTTCAGAGGTTGAGAGGCTTATTATATTGTCCCTTGTCTGAGTGTCAATACGGGATCGATATGATGATTTTAAAACGAAAAGATTCGCCCTGATATTGAGCGTACACGCTGTATTAATAATTATTTTTGTGAATATTCATTGGTCGCGTGCCGGTGGTATTGGCGTTCGTCGAGGACGAGACGGACGTGCACGCGCTTCCGGTCCAAAACGCATTAATGGGCTATTATAAAATATCGCGATTAAAAAGTCCGCAGCCGGTGGTCTGCGCGTATAGATCGGACGATTTAGTTTATCGTTATTATTGCTGGCAACTTAGACTGTTTTTTTTTTTTTTTTTAATTTTAATTTTTTCACATCCCAGAGATGCATTTTCGTCGCAGTCGTTTTTTTTTTTTTTGTATTTCTAACTTCGTACGGGGCGTCATAATTGATAATAGCGCTACGATCAGCGTTGCGATTTGTGCGAGTGGTCTGTGAAAAGAGCTCAATATTTACAAAAAAAACATGATAGACTAGACATTTGGTACAAGATTTCTGGTAGGAAAACAAATTGAATATAATGAAACCGTTAATGTCCGGTTTTTTTTTCTGATTATTTTAAGAAAACTTTTTGGAAAATCAACAAAATGATGGTCTTCTTGATATGCACCGATTGGAAAAAATTTGCTTAACTGGAGTAAAATTTCTGGTAGAAAAGTTAACTGTGACAGACAACGTTTTAAAAATTTTCAGAAACTATTCTAATATTTGGTATGAAATATTATACCTTCCTCCCCGCACAACACTATAAAACAATAATAACACGATATATATATACGCGCGTGTGTAAATTATATACAAACAAGTCGATGTTTACGATTTATTATTTTTTCCTCCGTTTTACGATTTGTTTTTTTTTTTTTTTTATACATAGACGTTTTGGTCGTTTAACGTTCTATTAATATTATGCGCCTATACGGTTTTTTTGTTTTTGGAACGGTCACAAAACGGTTAGTCTCGGAGATTGCCAATCGCCGCGTATTAGACCAAGATTCCTGATTTAGATCATCGGCGGTGCCCCAGGCTAAATGCCCTCTATTAGCAACGCTGGTCGCCAAATCGTACGTGTATCGATTGCCCGCGCCGTGCCGTTAATTTTAGTCAACACGCACGCAGCACGCCCGTAATTTCATTACCTACGTGAATAAAAGGCCGGGAAGGTAGGATATAGGTAATAGCTGCGGTAATTGGTTTAAATCCTCAACGTACCGGAGATAAATCGATGCAAACGAAATACGATTCCTGCGTGGTGCTTGGTTAGAAATGTCGTTATTTTTACGAGGTTCGTCGATCTTCGGAAAAAATATCTCGTGAGCAACAGAGTTCAACCATCACAAGAGTCGAAATTTTCCCCGTCAATTGTGTATTAAAGAAATATTTTTTTTTCTAAAACAATACTATGTAATACAATGTACTATTAAATATTTGATTACAACTATTTTACTTCCAAAAAAATCGGGTGAAATTTAAGTATAAAAATGTTTAGGGTGTGGGTTGAAAGTTAAAACACTCAAAAGGCACATCAATATTACTAATTCTATATGTATGTATAATATTATATAATTTTATACCCCCGGCAAAATTTCATTTGGGACTCGGTAGTGTTCAAAGCTTAAAAAAAAAACATTTTCTGTCAGCAAAAACGCGGTGAAATTCAATACAACTTGAATCATTCCAATCCGCCCTTAAAATAACGATGATTTTAGAAATTTTACCTCTTTTAGGTAAGTCCAATATAAGTATTATTACCAAGTTTTAAGTCTACGTGTATTTATAACCGAATTATAGAAAAAAAACTCATTAAAATTACTTAAAAGCTCAAAAGTTTTGACCATGGTACTGTAAGAAAGTAAATCAAAAAGGAAACAAAAAAGATGTCTTCGATTTTTTGATTAAATTATTTTTTCTGATAGAAAACGTCGTCCGTGTTTTTATAAAATTATGTAATCGTGAAATTGTACGTTTACCTACGTTTTTTCCCACTTAAGTGCTTTTATTTAAAAAATGTCGAAATGTAAAAAATGACCTTTTTTTAAGTACAATCTAAAACACTTCAGCTTTTAGAAAAGTTACTACATGTAAAAATTGGAGCAAATTTACTAGGAAAAAAACGTGTCCACAGATTAGAACAAAGTACAAAGAAGAAATAAACAGCATTGTGAAACCAATAGCTCCCTAGCTACGCTCGGAATCTAAATGGGTACCTCGATGTTGATGAAGGGAGTGAAAGGGTTTTTACTAAAAGCACCTTCGAGAAATAATTTAATAGTTATACATTTATCCAATGTTCTTTCGGAAAAATACAATAATTGAAAATTTTCTAACTGTATATCGGAAATCCATAATATTAAGGACATTCAAGAAAGTTTTACATTTCCACGAACCACACATTTTGAGCAGAAGTTTGAGTAATAATATATTATTATGAGTAATCGTGTAATTTAACAGCGAGTTTAATTGATATAAAATGCACCGGTTAGTTTCGAACAGTCCCCAAGGAAAGCTTTTGTGAATTTTTTGATAGGAGCGAAATCTCGGTGAAAATTTGGTCACAGGCAGAAAAAAAACATTTACATTACGGTAAAACCAATACATTCCTATCGTTGCGCTCAGAATTTAAAAGTGGCCACTTCGACGTTTTTTAATTATTAATTATTCTATAGCAATACTCATATTTTATTAGAGACCTACGCGCATGCGCATCATATATCCTATATAGTTACTCGTTCCAAACCACAGTAATTAAAGATGTTGATTAATATTGGCTGTTAATTTGGCGGCTAATGCCCGAACAAAATAAAATGACACATAATGGTGTTCATTTTTTCGACGGACACTCAAACTGCAGTTTATTTGCAGAAAGTGAACTGAAATCAGTATAGTCTATTATTATTTATTACCGACATATTGAGTGGTTAGCAGCTGTTGTATATCATGACAATTTTCATTTGAAAGTTTTTTTTTCTTTATCGACATTTTCTGAAAAAAAAAAAACGTGTTAAAAATTTTAAGTCTACGATTATTTTTCACTGAACTACTACAGACAAAAGAAAAAATCGAAATAATTTTAAAAAAAATGGTTTTCTAACGGTTTTTACTTGTTTTTCCCGTTATCAAAAAAACTACAATGAGTATTGAAAAATGGCCTCGTCAATGAACCAATTAAATCCAAAATGACGCAAGAAAGTTTTTATAAAGTTTTTGTTTGAACCAAGATTTCTGATCGAAAAGTTGTTCGCGTAAAAACGCATAAAACGAAAGAATAATAACAATTAAGACAACGAAAATATTTTGCACGGCAATTTGATGACTTTGTTTATACAAATCCCCTTATTTATTATATAGGTAAGTACAGCGCAGTTGTTTAAAACTTCGTTGAATTTTATGTATAATGCAGAAGTTTTAGTGTACCAATATGGGTCAAATGTGTGTATAGTAGACACCTATAATAATTTACTCGCAATACAGCCATTAGTTTTAAAATCTAAATCTGGCCTCTTGCTTGTGACAACCATGAAATTCAAATTTAATTTTTAATATACGTCCGAAAAACGAAATTAAAAAGCCCACGGTGGACGGAGGAATTATTTTGATTATCGATTCTCTGATAGTCATTGTTACACTGCAGCCGAACAATATAATACAGCGGCACACAATAATAATGTGTGTTAATAATAATAATAATAATCGTTTATTGATAAAAAAAAAAAGTATAAACTTTTTACGCGTTTTTCACGGTCGGCTGAAACGCTCGAGTATACTCAAAGTCGCTTATTTTTGTTTAAGTGACATTTTTTATTATTTTTTTGATGATATACTTTTTATATGTACCTATAAATGTCATTTGAAACGAAATCGATTTAACGTCTAACGTTGCAAACATTCTATCAACCTTAGCACTCTCTAATAATATGTCGTGCGGCGTTCTTCAATTCAGTTTTAATATATATACATATATTTGTTTTCTCTTATACTCGTGTCATTGACGAAGACTCGAGTCACTACAATATTTTCTTGGCTACAAATACTAATACACACAGAACGTATAAACACAACAAAATAATAATTCGTCGAGTAGGTACATAGAATATTGTGTAATAATATTTTAATTATTATTATAATATGTCAACACGTCGTTTTGTAATTTTTTTGCCTACGACGAGGTACATTATAATATACATATCATAATCGACACGGATTATTTCCGTGAGGTTAGGTTAAAATTTTAATCGATTTATATTATTGAATCGACCTTCCCCCTCCCCCAATTCAACATTTTGGCTACATCGGGTGTGTTAGCAAGTGCGAGGTTTGTACTTTATTTCGTATATGCGAGACCGGTAAAAATTGCCGCAATATATTGTTTTGATGACACCATCGTTTACTTTTGGCAAATAAAGGCCATACAACATCAATGCCGTGTTTTAAAAGAATTTTTATAAAACTGTTTAGAAAAAAATTAGTATATATTTAGATAAGTATACGTCTTAATTAAATGCATTTGCCTTTGTCTGTGAACAAGTGAATTCATACAGGAATTCAGTAGGAACATTCAGGTTAGGTGATCCAGTGTTATTCGCGTTATTGATGAATATTATTTATGTCGTATTTTACGAAAGTGTAAATGAAATACATGCAATACGTTTCAGTGTAATTATGTATATATTTCACAAAAAAAAAAAAATTCATAACAACTTAAAAAAACGATGGTGTATAAACGCGAAAATTTACTATCGTGTTTTTAAAATAATTGATTAAAAAAAAAAAAAAAAAATTGTAATGTTGTAGCTATAATGGGTCCAGTGAAAGAGAACTCGGACTCGGACATAAAATAATAAATCAGCAAATCAACGTGTTGAGAATAAATTGTGTTTACATATTTTCTAAATAAATAACGGTTTACTATTAATATATTTCTTTGTAAACTAATGATGGCTATGTTTTATATAGGTATGCTGAAAAGATGTTTTACATTCAAGTCTAAATATTTATATTACTTAATGCTGTTGATTAATACATATTATGAACAGCAGTTTATTGATTTTGTACTTTCTATTAATGTCTTACAAAGTCAAATATTTTCTGCTCGGTGTATGATTACGGAATGAAAATATATTTTACATACACTAATATTATTATGTACATAATAATGTATAGCTAAAAATGATTATTAGCACTAAAATTTAGCAGATTGTAGTGTATAACTGTATTAAAAGACTTAAAAACGAATATTTTTAGATTTTAAGATCAAATTTTAAATGTTACATTTCCATGAAGAGTAAAGTGTAAAACGAAAACACTGGTTTCTTAATTTGACGATGTGTGAATAATTGTCAAGTGTACGAATCCATAAAAAATATAGAAGAGAAAAATTATGATCTCTGTAAAAAAACCTAATCTCATTTTAATGTTTTAAAAAACTTATATACATATTATATACGTATATTTTGCTATAAAAATAATTAACGACAATAACTATAGAGAAGTTTGAATATTAACGATTATTTTATTACGTTTAAACTGCCGCCAACTCTGTTTTAAATATTTCGTTCTTAAAATAGTGTCTATGTAAAATCAAATAACACATTAACATAATATACATGTGTATAAAATAGCGTTAAAAAAAATAATCATTTAATCAAATTGTAAGAACGTCGTTATTAATGAAACAATATGTTTCAGGACCGAATTTTGGAAATCAACGGGCAAAAAATTTTGCGATTTTTGTAAATGTTGGATTGCAGACAACAAACCTGTAAGTGCATATTATTTTTAATATAGTTCTTCTATAAACACTAAGTAATCTATTTATTCGAGTATAATATTTTTGTATTACAAACAGTATACACTTTCAATTATAAACGTTTTTGTGTCAAACAGAGTATTCAATTTCACGAAAATGGTAAACGACACCAAAATAGCGTATCTAAGCGGCTGGTGGATATTAAAAAAAACAGCGCCATCGAACGGAAAGAAGAACAAAAAATTGAAATGGACATGAAACGAATGGAACAAGTACGCATAACTAAAACGGTCATATTATTATTATAATGTATGGTAGTGGCTTTTGGACAGTTTGTATAGTGAGGATCGGTAGCGTAATCGAAGTTTGTTTCTATTGATATAGAGTAGGTATTCCAAAAAAATTCTATAATGCCAGATCTTTATCAAAATGTTGACTTATTTTTACGACAAAATTATTAATCACGCACAAGGGATGGGTCCGGAGATAATATACGATTGTGCACAATAAATTCTGCTATAGGTATCTGATTCTTATAAAAATTGTGAATGCGTGTACGTAAATAATTGCAATTTTGCTATTACTTTCATGATTTTTACATGCGTATTTGTATTTAAATATGATCAAGTGTAGGTAAAAATTTGAAAGATTTGAATATTTTTAGTTTGTTTGATAGCGTATAGTTGCATTTTATTGGTACCTGTATATACAGTGCCATATTGTTATGGGTTTTTTTTTATTCGTGGCGTTTGGAATTATTGCGAACAAATGGAAATTTCCTACCCTTTCTCCATCTCACATGCAAGTACCTGTACTTATGTTGAAAGCTGTTAAAAATATCATGATATAATAAAATTATTATCGCATTTATTAGATTTATGGTTTCAAAAATTTCAAACACCGTGGATACCCCATACCACTAAATACGCCACTAGAACGTGTAGTTAGATAATATAGTTTACGGCTGTGTTTGCATTGCGTGGTCGTATAATAATAATATATATGGTCGTTTAACGTGTTTTGATTATATCAGCCCACCCGCCACCCAGTTCCTCATAATTCATATAAATCGATGAAACTAATATAAATATATTTAACAAGCAATTAGAAAGAATATGCACGTCATTATTTTTACGTTATTAATAATAATAAAGAAAGAAGGCCTGAAATTTAATGCAGTTTACCTATTAATCCAATAAAAGTCCACTCAAGTATTATTGTATAACTTTGTAATTTATATCGGTTGCTCCTTCTTTACTTTTATCGTCTGCCGATTGGGTACTTACAAAATATTGATAATACAGTTTTATAAATTTACGAGAAAGTAGTCGGGAAAAATTCGAGTGATATTGATTTCGTTTTTTAATATTCTTTTAAAAACATTTTTATAATCGTGTCTCGTTCATATATTGTACTACAGAACGCGATGAAAGCGTACTACAACGACATACAGAACAATCCGGATTATTCGTCGCAAATGCTGATCAAAGAAAGAGGAATAACTATAAGGCCAACGCCATGCATTATGAACCCGCAACCGATCAGGCCGACCGTAAATATTAGCTATTCGAAAAACAATATGCCTGTGTCCATCAAACCAGTGCCAGAACCCAAACCAGAGTACGTTTGGCACCAGTCCAGGACGGACGACGGGACCGACCTGATGTACTACTGGAATACTGAAACCGGAGGTCAGTGCTGTGATGTATATACAAAAAGGCATGAATGGGGGGTGAAATGATCAATAAATCAATGCAGTTATCGGTGATAAACTTGTGATTTTTTTTAAAATTGAGGAGGCTATATTTTTTCCACGGGTTCTATTCATGAGAGGGAAGTGTGTTTACAAATCCTATAGTATGTAAATACGCAACTAGGATTCAGGTTTACATTTAGGAGACTGACTTCGTTGGAACAGTACCAGGTTTGAACCAACAAGTTGTATATATTTTGTAAAACTACTAAAACCAACTCTGTTACGTTGGTTTTTTTTTTTTTTAAATTTCATACGGTTACGTAGTAACTTGGGCTAAACTTAAATATGGTCTGTAAATATATGAGAGGGAAGTGAGTTCTAATGGTTCAACTACCCCGACCGAATTTTTCGGATTACATGTTGTAATATATAAGAAAGATTCGGGTAAGTCAATATAGTAAACTTAGATTAGCGAAAAGATTAAATGGATGGAAAATGCATACAGGTTGGAAAAAATGTATGAAAGTTTTAAAATATTGATACGTATGACCGCTAAGTTTTTGGGGGTCCCAAAGAATGGGATACATGCCATTGTAGAATGCTTGTGTTTACCAAATCATCGTGTGTTTTAGAGTCAGTTTGGGAACCACCGACCGAGGGTTTCTTGAGCGTTGCCGAACAAGAAGCTGAAGAGAAAAAAAAGGAGAAGACTCTTAAAAAGAAACCGCCGGCTGCTGGTGGGCCGAAAGCAAAGAGGAAAAAAGCGGACAGTAAGGGAGATGGAGACGACGATGACAACGTTGACGAACAAGAATCGGCTCCGGTAGCTCCAGTGCGCGGTGAATTCGAACCGTTCATGGCGGAAACGACGCACATAGGTTCGTGGAAGGCGGTGCATAACACGTGAGTTTAAAACCCGTCTTGTATAGTATTAATTAAATAGTAGTATAATAAGCCGGATGTATCATAAAATACGAGTACTTAAGTCGAATAATTTTGGTTACCTGTGTAAGGTTTTTTTTTTACAAATTTGTTGTCATTCATGATCAATATTATAACTCGTGATTGCTCAGGTGGTACAATTTGTAGAGGTATGACTAAACCTAAATTTCATAGGGTACAAAAATTGTTAATAGCTCACCGACCTTATAAATAATTTTTATTCCAAACTTATCAATTAAAACACTTGCAGTGTATAAATGGAATTTAAAAATTAGATAATATTTATTAATTTATATAGTTTTGTACAACTTTTATAAAAGTACCTATATAATATGTATATAACTTTTTTTTGGTACATTTTTTATTTTAAAATATATTTTTATAAATGTTCGCTAAATTAATGTACTTGAGCAATATTCGAAAAATAGAATTAATATTTAAATATAATATGTTATAAGTACTTATGTACAGTGGCATGCCCAGGAATTTTCAATGGGAGGGGATATAAAGAATAAAAATTGTGAATAAAGAGTAAAATTGTCTTCTCTACCTAACTTGACTATGAGAATTGACAGTTTAAAAGCTGAATCCTAAAAACAAGCCAATTTCAAATCAATTCATCGATTTTTCCTCGTAACTTAGATGAAATTTATGCATTTCGATATTAGATATATTTTTTGTATTTTTAAGCCAGTGGAGGTGATATAAGTATGTAACCCCCTATTATCCCCCCTGTGCACGTTACTGCCTATGTAAAAACAAAGAATCTTATGATTTAGATTTTTGAGAGTGATAATTTTAAATTTGTGATTTTTAGTCCATTTACACCTAATCTTTGAATTAGTACCTATTATCATAGCCATTGTGTACAACTCGTTATTCAATGTTCAGAAGGCAGTCAATTTGGTATCCGAAATCCCGAATCCGCTATTTTTTACTAAATTTTTTTACGTTTTGATTATTATAGCTATTTTAAATATAAATTATAAATCATCGATCGATGTGTCAACGACTGAAACTAACACGTCTATTAAAGTTTCATGTATAGTTGTACATAGTAAATGTAGTAAATACCTTATACGTACATCATGTTGTAATACTAACATGATATAGTACCTATATATCTTTACTGGGTTTTACGTCTTAAAAATAAAGCTAATTGAATATTTCAACTAGGATTGGAAATATCGGATAGACGTAATAATAATTCACTATGTCCGAATATTTGCAGATTACAGGAATAAAAAACATTATTTACTCTCTTGAATTCAATATCGATAATTTAAAACGAGTTTTACTCGTATTGTATAAATATTGTTTTTAACTTTTGTAAATTAAAAATATTTAAATACTAATATTTACTAGATGCCTTCTAAATTAAAAATTTGATTTTTACATTTTGAATGTGGAAAAAGGTATTAAAAAAGGTCTTTGGTTTTAGTTTTTTTTAAAGAAGTTTTTTTTTTAGATTCTTAACGTGTTTTCTGAAAAATTAATAACAAATTACGCTACATGGGTTTCATTTTCGTTCTAGTGTTGGAGTAATGTAACCTATGTAACCTATGGTTACAAGAGAAAAACACGACTACAAAAATTGTATATTATAATGTATTCAAAAGCTTTATGAATTTATATTGAACCACGTGTAGAATACATATTCAGAATTATTTATTTAATTCATGATTATTGAAGTGATTATGAAAGATTCATAATGAATAAATGTATATAATGTTATATTATACCGTAGACGAGTAAACGACAGTAAAGTATTTTCACGTCTTTAACCCGTGTTTTTATTCATACAAAAACGTCAAAAAGGCCTAAAAAAATCACTTAAAATTTTTTATTAGAGCAATAAAGACAGACAGGTTTAAAATTTCCTCAATGTAGAACCATTAAAAGTGAGACTAAAACCACTCTACCACTTTTACTTTTTTAAATATTTTAGAGTTCTTTTTTTAACGATTTAAGCGCCTTTTTGCTGTTTTAGGTGCATATAAATCCGTTTCCTAATAATCATTCATAGCTTAGCAACAATTTTCGCAATCGCGTATTCACTTAGTATCACCATTAATATATTTTGTGGTATTACAATCCCCATTTATAAGTGGTGAATATCACCTGTATGAAAAATGATAAGAGACGTTTCTGGAAACCCGAACTGGTTGCATTATATTAACAAAGTGCATACGAAATAAAATACTACACATCCTGGTTTTGCTGTTTTGCGTAACAAATCATGGTTCATTTTCGATTAGTAGATGTAAAAAATGATAGTATTGCATCCTCACAAAAATTCAAGGGGGTGCAAGTGCACCCCCAAAATTACGCCCATGTTGTTACTGTTACCGATGTCATTACAGGTAGAACACACACTTAATTGAATTATATGTGTTTTATATTACATTATTATTTGTGTTTGATCCTACAAACGTTTTTTTTTATAAATATTAATCTTTTAATATACATTTATTATTACTTATTAATGTTATTAATAGTATTGATGTGGTTTTGTTATAGTCCACAACAAGTAATTGATCTCCAGCTACCAGAACAGGAATTTGTGGCGGTCAAGATGCCAAGTATCAAAGAAAAAGAACACACGTTCAAGGAAAAAGTAATTGGCAGTTTGGACTCCATCATAACGAAAAAAGAATCATCTACATCAGTTTCATTTAAAAAGTCAAAGTTTAATAATTTGAACCGCAGAAAACGTTTAGACGATGACTGATAAGAAAGATTTTGCTACATTGCCTCTGAGATTGCAAAAATAGAGCAGCGGACATGCATTTAAAATTCAACATGATTACGTTTAGTGTTTAAGAATTGAACAATAAAAGCTTGATATGATTCCCTAATATATAGGTAACTATATTTTTGTTCCCGAACAATAAATTTGGTTCATTAGTTTATGGATAGTAATACTTGAATATAATAATTATTTTGTTCTTAGTTATCTTTGACAGATTTATCTAAAAAATATGAAATAATTTCTAAGCACTTGTCTGCGTTAAATCTTTGATCCCAGAGAAGAATGATTTTTTAATTTTTTTTTATAATTTTGTTAATTTTATTTTTTCTTTCAAATAGTATAAATATATGTATTTTTAAAATTTAATTTGATTGAATACTAAACAAAATTAATTTAATACAATAAAGCCAATACATAATTTTTTAGCAGTCTTTATTCTTAAATATTTAACATTTTGTACTGATGAGGTGAAAATAATATAAGCTTTACAGTTTTTTACATTCATAATACCTAGTTATTCAATATTCAAATTAAATACAAATTAGAATAATAAATAAATTATTGTATTACTGTTGAAATGTATATATTATATATATATATATATATATATATATATATATATATTTAATAAAATGTATATCCATTTAAAGTACCAACCTGTTCTAACTCAACTAAACTTAGCTATTTTTTCTTTTTTAGAACTCAGTGGCCATGGGAGATAGAGAAATATATCTCCTTGGGCAAATGGGTTGTTTAAAGTAGTGAGCTGCTTGGGTCGGTTATTGATCAATAATACATATGTATTATTGAATAAGGTGATAAATTACTAAATTTCATTAATGAAATAAATTAAGAAAGCCCAATCTGCAGACGTTCTAAGATCCCAGCTTCAAATATATTTTGATCAATTAACTATAATTTCATTTAAAATTTTGAAAGAATTTGTTAACCTAATATTATATTATGCTTATACGAGATGTAGAGATATAATAAACTAAATGTCTTAATTTGTAAATAGTTAACACTAGAGATGTGACAATCTGTTCGATTTTAGAACTGAACCAAATTGAACTCTGTGTGTTTGGTTCGGTTACAAGATTGAACTAAAAATTGTATATAATTGAACAGAACTATTGGGTATTGTTTTCGATTCGAAAATCATCAATGCTGATTCTACGCGGACACCAATATGATGTTCTGTGATAGGACAGAGTGGCCTTGTTCCAAAAAAGAAAAATTCTATTTTTTTCGCATAATATTAAAATTATTTTACATTTTTAAAACCGTTCGGACTTACTTATTACTTAACCTTTTTACTTTTTTGATGTTTGAGTTCAAGTTCGATAAAATATTTTAAAAGTTCAGTTTGGTTCAGGTTCAAATAAAAATATGTAGGTTCCGTTCATTTCGGTTCGACCTTAAAAATCAGGGTTTTTAATATTTCTATTTGACACTTGACACTTTGACAGGTAATTTGGTAATTTCCTAAAGTATTTATACTCTAGTTCTGATTTTTAGATTTTGAACGCAGTCAAGAATGTTTTGGTTTTATTATACTCTTTTTTTTTTCTTTCTATTTGTAAATTTTCTACCAGAAACTTGATCAATCCAATAAAGAAGAGAAGAGTTTTTTGTAGAATTTCATATCTAGTTGGTGCAATGAATTGGTTATTTTTCATTTTCCTTGAAATTTGAAACAAACTTATTTTTAATCGTTTAATATTTTTTAACATAAAAAATCAGTTTTTCTTCATTATCTTAAATATCAATGAGAATTTCAAAGAATGACTTTTCTAAAATACCAACTAGTGCCAAAATGCAACAAAAAAGGCCTCTTTTCATGTTTTGATTGGAGCAAGGTTTATATGAAAAATGGTGTCCACAGAACCTATAAAAAAAAAAAAATAATAAATATTATTGTAAAATTATACATTTCTCGCTTTTACTTAGAATTTAAATAGAAATAAAGCACTCATATTAATAATACATTAATTTTACAATATAATACAGAGTTTTTCAAAATCTAAAAAAAATTTGTAGGACTAGGTCAGGGGTCGGCAACCTTTTTTGATGGAAGAGCCAAAAGTTACAATGTACAAAATTTTCCAGATTTTAAAGAGCCACTAAAAATTTTCTTAAGTATTTAAATATAATTATATTTTTAAATTTTAATAGACATAATAATAATGAAATTAATTATAATAATATAATAAATTTATGATAAAAAAAAAAAAAAAAAACAGTTTTTAATAATAGGGGAATACATCAATGGGAGCATTGGCTTTGCATGTCTTGGCGTGACGGCGTATGACCAATTAGTTTTAGATAGCGTCGCGATTATATTAGACTCTATAATAAACATTTTACAACTATAGACTGTACTCCATGCGAGCACTGTCAAATTATTTTTGTGATGTATTATTTCATATTTCCAAAAGCAACAAAAATAATATACTTTTTTTTTTATATTATAAAATATTGTTTTTGAACTAAAATATTAATTTTTGTGTGTGCAGCTGGAGAGCCGCAACTTTAGACCGAAAGAGCCGCATGTGGCTCGCGAGCCGCAGGTTGCCGACCCCTGGACTAGGTGGTCAACAAAATTTGGACCAATCGATTTTTGAATCTCTGAGGTCCAATCTAGTGCCAATCTGCCACAGGGATAACTTAAATTAGTTAAAAACAATTACCAATAATTATTGGTTAACTTGCTCAGCTTTGGAGATTTCATAGCTACTAATATTGCGATATTAATGAAATATTTAAAACTTTTCTGTGGCAATAAAAAATAAAATAAAATAAATAATGTTCTTATAAATTTATCATTATGTCAGTGTCACACATAAAGATTAGATTATGTAAATGGTTCTTTGATAGTTGTTTAGTAATAGCCGTTTTAATTTCTAGATAATTTTACAAAATGGCTACTTTAAAAGTTTTAAAAGTTATTTTTTTCAGTAATTAAGGGATGAAAAATAAAAATTGAATTGTTTCCTGCACATGTCCCCCTCGCACAAATCTTGATTGAAAAAAAAAATTAATATTGACAGAGTTATTAACATATTAATTTTAGCATATATTCTTAACAATACAAATATTTGTCATGGTCATAATAATATTTTAATAAATATATGTTGTACTGCAATACGTTTGCCGAACGTGTGTTCGTTTTTTCAGTACGTAATTGATCAAAACGCAATTACTCATTTTAACATTAATCGTATAACATCGTAAGTCACAAATTATCAAAACAGTATAGGTATATGAAAAAAAAACCCAAGATGATTTTCGGATATTAGTAAAAGCAATTGAAGTATATTTTACGTTTTAAGGTATTCGTTTTTAATAGAAATAAATGCCAAAGGCAAAGTAGAAGGCATCAAAATCATAAAAGCATACCTTACTATATTTCTCTACAGTTAATCATATTAATATTATTCTCATTATTCTCATAGGTTTAGTCACGCACAGGCTTAGTAAAGGATAGTTGGTTTTGAGTAATGTGAAGTTGGTATTACATTGTTGTAGAACTTTTCAAAAATATATCCAACTATGGCTAAATAGTCTTATTGGAATTTTTTGGAGCTCCTATTTATTTATTCTACGCTAAACTTTGTACTGTTTTGTAAACCTTGCAGTACATTTTTATTAAGACCATTCAAAAACTTTCTAATAATGTTCAAATAGACTTGTTGGAATTTTTCGGATTCTTTAGCAAAATTAGAATTCTAGGGTTGTGAATCCCTGAGTATGAAGTTGGCAGTACAAAGTTTAACGTGAATAAATAAATAAATAGAGGAGCTTCAATAAGTCTATTTGAACATTTTTGAATGGTTTTAGTAAAAATGTAATGGGTGTGAGATTAACGGTAGGTACAAAATTAATTAACGCAGGATAGTTAAAAAGTGGGCTCCAACAAATTCCAACAAGTCTATATAAACATCTTGTAATGTTCTTCAATATACTATTTCCATTTGCTCACCACTTATGTTCTAACCACTAATTGTTTACATCTTGTAAGTGTGAAAATATTTGATTTTTCATACTGACGACAATATCAGTTTATTAAGCTTCTTATGATTACTATAGTATAGGTATTTTATAGTTTTACTTTTCACTACCTATGTGTTCGGAAAAATTAACGTTTCACTTCAAAATAGTTGCAAGGCTAAACAGCACTTTGAAATATATATAGTGTATAATTCACTATTGTTTGATAAATATACACAAAAAAAAAAAACTAATCATTAGACAGATATGTTATTTTTTTTTATTGTCCCTATTTATGTCACGTAAACTCAATACTAGCTGTTGTCACTTGAATATAAGTAACGTATAGTCGATCTAGTCTCGTAATGTGACGTTTAAAAGACATTTGGCAATATATATGTGATACTTTCCATATGAGTATCTATAATACACTCACTGGAATATAAATATTATTGGGCTGAATTTAGAACGGTTTGTTTAGCACACTATGCATAATGCATTTAATATATATAGGTAGGTACTTACGTGTTTTGAACAACTCAAAATATGTGTTGCATCCTGTATAACGACTTATAGTTTTAAATAAATCTTATTAAACCTGTTTTGTAAATTTAATAAATTAAATAGATTTGAATTCCTTTTTAATTTCAGACAGTTGGTTGACTGTGCGTTGTTGTAAAAATTATAAGGTGGGGTAATTCGCATGTTACGACCGTTAGCGTATTTTATCCTCAAAATTTGTCTGCCCCCCCTGACGTAAAAATTATAAGGGGTAAAATTTACCTGTTTCCATAATATACCTCCCGAAAGTTTTACTTACGTTTTCATAATTCTTTAGTACGAGGTTCACATAACTGTATTAATAATGTTTACCAGTTTCATTAGATAAGTACCGAATTAAATCAACTAATATCAAATAATTTTTTTTTAGTAAAGTTTTTAGCACCTCTTAGGCGAAGTTTATCACATTTAAAGTGAATAGAACATGAGGTGAGAACCTCTAGTAATAATAAGTATACCAGTTATAAGTATCTATTTTCCAAATTATAATTGGTCACCATTATCAACTTTTATTTAATGTTATAATGTCTATCATGTTGTACTTACTATGGAATACCCAAGGATAGCGAAAACTGAAATGGTTAATTATGTACAATATAATAAATAGTAAGTAGGTAACCTATATTTAATTATATCTAAAACAAATATTTAATGTTTAAAAAAAAAAAAAATCGATCTACAAAATATAGGAAAATGTTGTGACCTCTAGTTTATTATTTATAGGTAGGTTTTGATTAGTCAAGTGGTGAGAGAGGTACGTATAATACATATTATACCCTGCAGTATTTTTCTACCTGCTTTAAAATGTAAAAACTTTTAAATAATAAACTATATATTATACTATATAGGTACCTATTTATAGTAGTTAAATATTCGATGTTCATGTGACATTTTGTTGAGAAAGCTATTCTATTTTTGAAAATATAATTAAAAATAAGCATTGTGCTTTGATGAAGTATAAAATATAAAAAGTTCAAAATTCAAAAAAAAAATAATAATAAGGTGATAATGCTGATGGGTCCTACTGTTGTAGGTGGTAAGTTCAGTGGTGGTTTTGATAAAATATCAATGGGAGGGGGGAGAAATTTCCAATTTTTTGGGCCTCATAACATAATGAAATATATCAAATAAAGGATAAAATGTATTTATTGTCTTATCATAAATTACACATAACTTTTATTTTAGATTCTCAGTGGTGCGAAGAAACTTATGATTTTACAACAGTTTTATCTTTGGATAACTTTTCCAGAAGGAAATTTTGTTAGGAAGGTACTTTAAACAGGTCATTTTTCGATTTTCTCCGGAGTTTTCTCGTGAAAAATTGAAAAAAAAAACGGGAAAATGTAAGAAATATATTAGTAAAATAAAGGATAAAAAATTACGAATTTTTTTCTGTGAACAACTTTTCTACCAGCAACTTTGCTTAGATTTCCAATGATAGAAATTTTTTTGAAAGGAAATATGACTGGAGAGGTACCTACTTTAAAGATGTCATTTTTCGATTTTCCCAAGAGTTTTCCCAGAAAATGTGAAAAAAAGTGAAAAATGTAGGAAAAACGGGAAAATCTGTACAATATTAAACAAATATTATTTAAGAAAATATATAATGCCTATTTAATTATTTTACCATAATATGAAATATATATTGTTGACAAAGCTTCACTATCAACTGAACTCTGCTCAGAATTGTTTTCTCGTTAGCAATGGTATATCATTGCTTACGTACCAAAACATACCTACAAGTTGACAAAAAAAAAAGGTCCAGGGGGGCGATCGCCCCTCTCTAAAAATCACCACTGGGGATGTTGAGAGGATAGGATGTATAAAGTAACTTTATTTATATCTGTAAACAATGAAAGACGATTCTAAGCAAAATTCGTTTATACATGATTTGATGATGATATACATGATCAATAATTACGGTTTTTATCAAAATGTTATCTTAAAACTGTTACAAAAAAAAAATTACTACATTAAGTTTAATTTTGTTTTACCATTAAGTACAACTTATTATTAGTGTTTAATTTCCAAGCATTTTTATCCACATATTACCTGCCAAAAAAAAACTACTTAAAAAACTATAAAATATAAAATGCCTATAAATAGCTCAGAAAATTGGTTTGGCTTTTCAGAATAATTGGAAAATGTCACTGCTTTACTAGGTAGCTGCTCCGGCCACGCGTTGCTGCGGCTCTGATTTTTTATAAAGATATGCAAATATTATATTGTAGGTACCTACCTAAATTTAATGAAACAGTATTTTTTATTGTTATTATTAATTTTTTCTGTTAAATTGTATTAGTATTTTTTGTATCCATATTCATTTTTTTTGTGATCGTATTAGAATTGAATAAAAACATATTGGTGGAAAGTGCCACCTATCGGCAGACTAAAAATTTTCTTTTGTGAAATTTTTTCATGATTTACATATCAAAAATATCTAAACACCGAAATGTTTTTTTTTTTTTTTTTTTTTTTTGGGGGGGGGAGTGGATTTTAAAGAGAAGGAAATCTAACCTAACGTATCAGGAAATAATGAAGTTCGACAATGGGAGAGCGGATATACTGTATTAGTCGTCACTCGCAGACGGCACAGCATTTCTTTTTATACCTTCTATGCGTATTTGTCTTCAATTTGTATTAATATAAAATTAATAACTCGATTATTAATAAATATGAATGAAAAGACGAAGATACTTCGTACGATGGGTGGGCCACTGTTGTAGGTGAGAATTTGGGAAGATAGGATATAGACGGGAATTGAATGTACCTATATCTGTAAGCAAGGATAAACCATTGCTAACGAAAAAACGATTCTAAATGAAGTCCAGTAGAGTATCTAAGGAGATTCCAGTCAGATTTTCTTTCAAAAAAATTGCAGATAGAAAAGTTGTTCACTGATAAAAAAAAACTGCGAAATATTTTTTCAAATAATACCTACAATTCATACATTTTCATTGTTTTTTTTCGGTTTTTTACATTTGGTAAAAAAACTTGAAAAATGGCATTCTTAAAATACTACCACGAAAAAATTGCGTTTCTGAAAAGTCTACATCGTATACATTGGAATAAGCTTTATAATAAAAAGTGTTCACATAAAAAAAAAAAAAATGACAAAATAAACATCTTTGTAAAACCAATACATTCTTCGCTCCACTCAGAATCTAAAACAAAACTTAAAATAATGAAACCATTTACTTAAAATTTGATATTCTATAAATTAATAAGATAATTGACATTTGTGTGAAAAGCAATTTCATGTAAGTTTAAATGGCTAAAATTATTTTCAATTTCGTTATTTTACTAATTTGATGAAAGCATATAGGGATATGTATATATATATAGGGAGAAATATACATATAAATATATAGTTCAAAAGTTCAATTGAAACCTTTTACAACATTTCGTTATTAAATTAAACGATATTAGTTCAGGCACATTACTTAGCCTCCTGTTTT